ATGGAAGTTAGAAACCTCAGAAGCCAGAGATCATGAAAAAATAAGGAAAATGGCTAGATTGAGGAAGGATGTTACCAAAAATGTTAAGTCACTGAAAAACAATATAACCAGAGGAAGGAGGAAGAAACAAGTTACACAGAAAGTGAGATAACGCTGAACTGGCAAGACATTTTAATTAAGTAACTAGGGCCCTACCAAATTCGCAGTCCATTTTGGTCAATTTCACAGTCCTAGGATTTTTAAAATAGCAAATGTCATGATTTCAGCTATTTAAATATGAAATTTCACGGTGTCGTAATTGTAGGGGGTTCTGACCCAAAAAGGAGTTGTGGGGAGTCGCCAAGTTATTGTGTGTGTGTGTGGGGGGGGTTTTGCAATACTGCTACCCTTACTTCTGCGCTGTTGCAGTCAGTGGTGCAACCTTCAGAGCTGGGCAGATGGAGAGCGGCAGCTGCTGGCTGAGAGCCCAGCTCTGAAGGAAGAGCTGCTGCCAGCAGCAGCGCAGAAGTAAGGATGGTATGGTATGGCATTTGCCACCCTTACTTCTGCGCTGCTGCTGGTGGGGCACTGCCTTCAGAGCTGGGCACCCAGCCAACAGCCGCCACTCTCTGGCTCCCAAGCTCTGAAGGCAGCACAGAAGGGTGGCAATTCCACTATCTCCTCTATAATAATCTTGTGACACCCTGCCCTCCAGCAACTCCCTTTTGAGTCAGGACCCCCAATTTGAGAAACTCTTGTCGATCCTGTAAAATCAGTATAGTATAGGCTAAGAGCACACAAAAGACCAGATTTCATGGGGGAAGACCAGGTCTCACGGTCCATGATACGTTTTTCCTGGCCATGAATTAGGTAGGGCCCTATAAATAACACATCAAAATAAATATGAATAAACCAATGTTTTGACATGTGTTGTCTTTAACTGCCTGGCTTACAACATGGGGTTCCTTTTCAAATAAAAATGACATAATCAACTAAATATAAACTATAATTATTTTCATGATTTTGTCCAGAGAAATGAATATATAAGGAAACTAAGGATTTCTTCCCATTAAAAAGCCATTTTACAAGAATACCATTCAGTTCTAAAAAAGAAAAGGAGTACTTGTGGCACCTTAGAGACTAACAAATTTTATTTGAGCATAAGCTTTCGTGAGCTACAGCTCACTTCATCCGATGGGGATGTAGCTCACGAAAACTTATGCTCAAATAAAATTTGTTAGTCTCTAAGGTGCCACAAGTACTCCTTTTCTTTTTGCGGATACAGACTAACACGGCTGCTACTCTGAAACCTGATTCAGTTCTAAAACATTTCTGTTTAAGCAGATAGATCTCATTCAATTTTATCATTATATTTGGATAGATGAATACACAGCCTACTCACCTCTTAGGAAAACTGTAAAAGACTGAATCCTGAAATGTGGTTTATTGTTGGAATATCCTTGGAAAGCACTCAGAGCTTTTGCATCTATCATTTCAACTAGCTGTTTATCTTACAAAATAAACAGGTGTAGAATGTTATATTTCTTAAGAGTGGTACTTTACTCTTTAAAGAATAAGCTAAGTAAATAAAAATGTATCAAAAGTAGAAAGATAATTTAGAGCTAAAAATAAAACTACATAATTCTTACCACCAAGTACTCTAAATTTCATGTCTTCTCGCAGTGGTGAAGCACATAAACTGCATACAAAATCATTCCTCACTGTTGCAGACTCTGTAGCTCCAGGTATATGCACTCTTATATAATTAAACCCTAATAGAAAGCATTACATAGACTATATAGCCAAATATTTCTTCACATTTAGTCATAATAATCTGTAATGAACTTTATGTTACTTAAAATATATAATTGGTTTTAAATGCAGCTTATTCCAGTTTACTATGTGGTAACAAGTATAAGCTCTCAAAACTTCCTGGCTCTTTAAAAATGGCACACAGCCTTCATTTTAATTCCCCAATCAGAGTGGTACAGTGAGTAAAGCATTAAATTGAGAATCAGGAGTTCTCAAGTGTCATATTTTCTTGTTCTTAAGATGAACAGCTTTATTGCATGTTCTATGTTTCTCTCATGACTTGGGAGTCTCTCCCCCTGCCACCAAATAAAAATCAATAATTATGGCGTACTGCCCCTCCGAGCAACATACAACAATCATCAGAAGTTTGAGAGCTGGGGCTCAGAGCTTCAACCCCACTCCTGTTGAAGCCCCGAGCCCCGGCAGGTGTGCCCTGCAGGGCTGATGCCCTGAGACCCCCCTCCCTGCTGTACAGAAGCCCCTACCCCACCTCCCCACTGCAAGGCAGAGGTCCCGAGCAGTCCCCTCCCAGTCTGGTAGGTGGAGAATGGGGTTTGCAAGCCACACTTTAACGGTAAAAGAACTGCATGTGGCTTGCGAGCCACAGTTTGGCCACCCCTGGATTATAGTTTTACCGCTGGATGGCAGAACTGCGTATTACAGATTCTTAACCTCATCATGTTAGCCTGGTTTTGTGAGAAGCAGTCAGAGAGATGATATGTCCCTATGTGCTCCATTCAAAACTACATGAGGTCTTTATGTTTAATATAGGTCTTCTTGATTAAAAACATAATTACAATGTGTTCTAAAATGAGTATTCTGACATTGGGAATTAGCTTCTCTTTTTCACCTTCACAGTCCCTATGATTGTAAAAAACAATTTTAGGGGTTTATCCTGCAAAAGCTTAAGCATCAGAGTAATTTTACGCAGGGGAAAGTAGTGTCATAGAAATCAAAGAAGTTATTAAAGTTAATAAATCCTAGACTGCTGTGAAGGAATCAGTCCTCATCTAGTCCTGCTGTATAGGCAGGAGTCTGACACTGGCCAGGTCTTCACTAGAAACTTTTGCTGGTATAAGAACATTGGTTAGGGTATGAGTCTTTACAACATTTTATACAGGCAAACAGCCCTAGTGTACATACAGTTTACCAGCAAAAAATCCTTTAATCAGTATAGCTTATTTTGTTCAGGGAACTGTAATAAGCTACACTGGCAAAAGAACTTGCCAGTATAAGCTGTCTCTGCTTAGGGGACAGAGCGTGGAGTTTGCTGGTATATAGGCAAACCCTTTGTAATGTAAATCTGGCCGCTGACCAGAATAAATCAGAAAGTTGTGATGCTCTCGCTACATCAAAATGCATCCTAGATATGCAGTTCCTTTGTGTAAATTACATAAAATCTATACAGGAAAATGCCAAATTTGTCTTAGATTTTAATGTAAATAATGTGTTTGAGTTAATGGGCTAATCAATCAGAGAACCTTTTGAGTTTAGAACTTTTCTCATTTTACATTTTTTTTTTTCTTACCTTCAGAAAATGGACAGGTTTCCTCTGAACAAAGGAATCTTGCTCCTTGTGTGTATTTCGTTACAGTTCCCATTGCAATCACTATTCCTTCTGACATATAAAATCTCTGAGACATGTAATCAAGTGGAAACTCACAAAGGCTGAGAACATAACTTGGCAGCGGAGGCAAATGTGTTGGTTTCAACACTATATTAATCTCATGAAAGAAAAAGGGTTGCGTTAAAACAAAAATCTTTTTTATTTGAAATATTTAGTATAAATGACAAATACTCATGTACAAAACCCAATGTGGTACACAGTTACAAAAACATATTCCAGGGACGTGCCAAATAAGGTGAAAATAGCTCATAGTCACATATATCCACCTTGTCATACTCAGAGTATGCATGGGTAAGAAGTTCCAACTATTTTTTGTTTAGATTGATAGGACTGTTGAATGAAAGTGAAAATTAAAACTGAAAAATTAACACCGAAAAGATCTCTAAATACAACTTAATATTGCTTGAAAATTATTTTATTTTTATCTAAACTGGTAAAAAGTTTAAACTCACTTGGGCCTCTGTCTGTAATTGTTCAATTAATGACAGTGTTTTAATAGCTATGAAACAGACCTGTAATTCAAAAATAAAATGATTTTGCAAAGAAAAATTTGGTTTAAAATGTTGAATAGATTTCTGCCTCTGTAAACATACAAGTTCACTTACCGACTGAAAAATCTGTGCAGCTTTCATGGGTTTGTGCAGAATCTGATTTCCAAGAGCTGCATCCAACTCAGCAATATCAGAAGGATTTACCGAAATAATGAATCGATAGACAGCATAACTTTGCTTTGAGTCTGTCAGAGCAGAGAGTCAATAAGCAAGTGTCTTAGAGCACAAAATATAGAAATAAGGTTATTTTTCTTTAAACCAACTTTGTTTGGTCTGTCAATATTAATAGAAGGTTTACTGAACAAACAGTACCATTATATCGCTTGCAATCGTCCACAAATTTCTGAAGGCCACCACTCCTATCAAGGTAAATAAGGGCAACCTCTTTCATTTTCAGAAGATCTGGTCTCATCTTCCAGTGAAGTTCTATGCTCTCTTTTATCAAAATGTTAGAATATATTACTATAAATCATAGGTGGTGGAATTAGGGTCAGAGCTCAAGAATGCTGTAATAATAAAATAAGTAAGGATAAAACATATATAATAAGGACATCATACCAATCAAAAGTGAAACTAGGAGCCAAGAAACTAAGCAAAGACAAATATTGCCTTCTTCTGTAACATTACAAACAATGTAACTCTTTCAGAAATATTTTTCTCTGAATTCCCCTTTAAAATGGAAAGTCCCTTGCCCACAAAGAAATACAGTATTATGTTGTTAATGTAAATTTTCTAATAATAATGTTCCAGTATTTTGAGACAATGAACTATTTTGTGACTTTTACAACTTAGAGAGCCCAGAAAAGCATGCCATTCTTTAACAAAAATTCTAAGGTTTTTGTGTAGTATAGAGTTATAACCACATAGGGAAAAAAAAATAAATCACACAGTATTTCTGTGCATTAACTAGACAATGCCTTATGGGGAAGGGCAGTACAACCAGTCAGTCAAGTTTTTACCCAGAGTGAAATGGCGTTAACAATTTTAACCTAATGTTAATCTATGTATTTCCTTTATGTTTTCAAATTTAGGCCTTGATCCGTGCAGAGGCTTATGCTAATTCTTAATTTTATGCAGGTGAGTAAAACCAATGGAACTATTCATATGCATAAAGTTAAGTATATGCATATGTGTTTTCAGGACTGTGATCTTATTTTGGTAAGCTCCTTGGGGTAGGCTGCTTGCACTTTTATTTGTTTGGTCTATATTGTACATTAGGCACATAAATGTTGTTATACAAACACATTAACAAGTAATCAGAAATCATATATGTTGTTTCTTACTTTAAATTCTCCTTTCTCCAAGTATTCAGGTCCACAGATTCTTCTTGCAGATCCCCTGCAAACTTAAGGAGAAGGAACCAGACCAGTCAGTCATCATGGACCTGGAGTTAAACTCTGCACCAGAAGTGCCTATTTCCTATTCTCTTCTGCATCCAGATCCACAGATCCCGCAGTGTGATTTTCACAGGATGCAGCACAATCAGGAAAAGTGACTTACTCTAAACACTCAAATATTTACAATTTTTTAAATTTAAAAACATATATATTTACTAAGACCTTACCCATGTAGCGCCTTCCAGCTAAATGTGGTTTAGACTGAAGATTGCTAGTCCAGTTTGTACATATCTGTCTAGTTTGCTTCCTTCTAGATCTCATCTCCACAGAAATTCATTGTGATGGAATATATCCATGTTCACATCTCACACACTATTGTAATAATCTTTGTACAAGGAATGCCTTATGAGGTCTCATTAGAAAACTCGTAATTTGATGATCAGTGATATGGTAAAATGTGTATAGCAGCTTTATGTGTTAAGTTATAAATTTCCTCTGTATGATGTTAAAAATACATGTGCAGACTCACATATCACCAAACAGGTCAAATAGACCAGTTCTGAACAAAGTGTATGCTTGTCTTAATTGGCATTAACACAGTAAACAGAGTCATCAACCAATAAAAGGGGAAAGAAGAAAACAAAGAGCTCACACAGGTGAAAAAGCCCAGCAGGGAACATCCTTCCTCCAGTAGACTACCTGTCTCCTGGTTCTCAGCTGGAAATGCTTTTCAAAGAGAGACTAAAACACTATAAAAAGGCAAGGCAAACACCCCAAGACACCTCTCTCTCTTCACCTTAGAAGGCAATGGCAATAACTGTTGGACATTAGGAGCGGTGCTCTGACCTGAAGAGTTTGGTCAGTAATGTTGCTAGAAGCATGTGTTGAGAAACTATGCTTGAATCTAATACAGTTTGTTAAATTAGGCATTAGAAAGTGTTTTATCTTTATGAGTTTAATAATATTTAATAATTTATTACTTTTATGCCTCATTACTTGTACTCACTTAAAATCTCTCTCTTTGTAGTTAATAAACTTGGTTTATCTAATCCAGTGAGTTTATATGAAAATGTCTGGGTAACTCTATTTAAGGTAGTAAACTGTTGTATTCCCTTAAAGGAATAAGAGATTTAATATACAGTAACTCCTCGCTTAACATAGTAGTTATGTTCCTGAAAAATGCGACTTTAAGCAAAACGATGTTAAGCGAATCCAATTTTCCCCATAAGAATTAATGTAAATAGTGGGGGTTAGCTTCCAGGGAAATTTTTTTCACCAGACAAAAAACTATATTTTATATATATATTATGCACACACAGAGTATAAGTTTTAAACAAACAATTTAATACTGTACACAGCAATGATGACTGTGAAGCTTGGTTGAGGTGGTGAAGTAAGAGGGTGGGCTATTTCCCAGGCAATGCCTTACTGCTAAATGATGAACTAGCATTGGGCAGAACCCTCAAGGGTTAACATGTTGTTGTTAATGTAGCCTCACACTCTATAAGGCAGCACGAATGGAGGGAGGGGAGACAGCATGGTAGACAGAGACATAAACCATGTGCGTGGGAGAGAGAGATGTGCATTGCCCCTTTAAGTACACTGACCCCATTCTAAGTATATTGCCTTTAAAAAAAATCAGGAAGTTGAGACAGCAGCTGAGGCCCGCAAGCCCTCTCTGTCCTGAGCCCTGTCCTGTCCCCACCCTGCTCTATATGGAGAAGGGATAAACAGGGGGTAGGAGTAGGGGGGATGGGGACATCCTGACATTAGCCCCCCTCTCTTCCCTCCTCCCCTTCACAGCAAGCAGGAGGCTCCCAGGAGCAGCTCCAAGGCAGAGGGCAGGAGCAGCACATGGCAGTGTGGGGAGGGACAGCTGAACTGCCGGCAATTGGTAGCCTGCTGGGAGGCTGCTGCACAGGGAACTTAGGGGAGCTGATAGCGGGGCTGCTGGACCACCCTGGTTCCAAGCCCCCACCAGCTAGCTGTAACGGGCTGCTTTTCCTGCAAGCAGTGGACAAAGCAGACGGCTGCCAAACAACATTATAAGGGAGCACTGCACAACTTTAAATGAGCATGTTCCCTAATTGATCAGCAACGTAACAACGAAACAATGTTAACCGGGAAGACTTTAAGTGAAGAGTTACTGTTATTTGGACTGTCCAGGATATAGCTGGGCAGAAAAAGACATACATTTCTGGGGGGAAATCTAGAGTTGGGAGTTCGTTGGGATCACCCTGCAGAATAGACTCATAGAAGGTTAGCATAACCAAGGCTGGTGAGAGCCAGGGTGTGACCAGTTACATAAACACATCTGGGAGTGACCTTCCTGCTGGTGGCTGTTTCTGAGCAGTCCTGGTTGGAGGAGGCATTGCAAGGAACCCCAGGTTACAGGGCAAGGATGAAAAAGCTGCCCAACAAGTCTGGGTAGCACCCTGGTATATCACATTCACCCTGTGCAGATGGCCAACCCAAGACACCACTTAAGTCTTCAAAAATAGCTCTGGCTATCCACTACAGTTGAGGAAGCAGAACTGCTGGGCTTTTCACAGGGGGCAGAGCTTACTCAAGGAAGACCTCCTGTAGTATCTGTGGACCTAGATGTGAAGGGAAAATGCAGTCATGTAAACATCTCAATGAAATAACTGGATGCTTATGAAGAGTAGCCTGTAAGATGGGATAAGGCAAAACTATATATTGTGTGTGTGTGTGTCTTGTGGGCATGTGCAAGGGAATATGAAGTAAGGGCTTAAAGTGTTAAAATGAAAAACTGTAACCGCAACATGAGGAATGATTCCATTAGAGTGTTCTCTAACTCCTGGGAATTGCTCCCACATGACCTGCAGCTGCTTTGATAAACGTTGCTCTGTTCCTTAAAACCTCAAAGAAAATGGATCACATTCCATTAAATTCAAGCCATGCACATCCAATTTAACTACACCCACACAGACTGACAGCAACCAGGTACAGACCAATCCAGCTACCCAGTTTCTTTCTGCCACCCCACTGACACTACACTGCTGCAGAGAGAAGAAAATATGGGACTGCTGCAGTTTAAAATACTATTCATGTTATTCCTAGACACACATTGTTTGAATAGCCCGACTTGATTATGTAAAGAGTTGTCACTTTGGATGGGCTAGCACCAGCAGGAGAGTGAATTTGTGTGGGGGGGTGGAGGGTGAGAAAACCTGGATTTGTGCTGGAAATGGCCCACCTGTTGATCACTTTAGATAAGCTATTACCAGCAGGACAGTGGGGTGGGAGGAGGTATTGTTTCATATTCTCTGTGTGTATATAAAGTCTGCTGCAGTTTCCACGGTATGCATCTGATGAAGTGAGCTGTAGCTCACGAAAGCTCATGCTCAAATAAATTGGTTAGTCTCTAAGGTGCCACAAGTACTCCTTTTCTTTTTGCGAATACAGACTAACACGGCTGTTCCTCTGAAACCTGTCATTGTTTGAACACTAGCTGGATACCCTGGCACACTGAACTGCCCAGCCAGACAGACACCCACCCCAATTATCCTCCCTGCTGGCAACACTACCCCCCTTACCTGCTGGCACCTCTACACCCTCCCCATTACCCCCCCCCCACCTGCTGGTACCACTACATATCACCGCTGGCATCACTACACACACACCCCCATTGTGACACTACCCCATCTTACCCCCAGCACCTCTACACCCTTCCCACTACCCACCTTACCTGCTGACACCATTACACCCCTCACCACAGACCCACTACCCCCCCCCGCCTGCTGGCACCTCTACACTCCCCCCACTGACCCACTACCCCCTTATCTGCTGGCATCATTACCCCCCCTTGCCTGCTGGCACCTATACACTCCCCCCACTGACTCACTACCCCCCTTACCTGCTAGCATCTCTACACCCCACCACTGGCACCATTACATCCCCCACTGACCCACTACCCCCCTTAACCACGGGCATCTCTACACCCCCACTATACTCCCACCACGGATCCACTACCGCCCCTTACCCGCTGGCACCCCGCCCACTCCGCCAGGCGTGCGCAGCCCCTGCTACAGCACTGCCACCATACTTGCAGAGGCAGCAGGTCAGAGGGAGGGGCGAGAGCTGCCCCCCGGGGAGGCGGGGGCAGGAGAGTGGCTGGGAGGGGGCTTCTTCGGGCGCAGCCTCAGGCGGAGGGGGGAGGAGCTCCTCACCCCTCCCGCTCACCCACAGAGAGGCGTGGGCCTGAGGCGCCTGCCGCCTCCCTGAGCGGCGCTTAGCTGGGCTCCGCGAGGCTGGGAAGAGCGGGCCGGAGTCCGGGCGCCACAGCGGCCCCAGGCGGCCGAGGGGTGTCGCTGCACATGAAAAGCTCCAGGCGTGCGGGTGTGTCGGGGACGGGGACGGGGAAGGAGGGCGTGAGCAGCCCTGCCTGTCTGCCGGCTCGCACCCCGCCTCCCCACACCCGGGCACCTGCTGGGTCCCAGCAATGAGCCACCCACCCCACCCCGGGTCCAGCACAAGATGGCCCCCTCAGCGTGGGGCCTCCGGCTGCCGCAGAGCACCTATGCTGATGGGCCCCCTCCCCACACACACGCAGCAAGGCGCCTGCTCTGATAAGTCCTCCCCCACACACCGTGGCGGGGACTTCCCCCCAAACTGATGCTCCTTTCTCCCCTCCGCCCTACAGCGGGATACGTACTAACGCAGCCCAAGGTGCGCCAGGCTAAAACCCTAATTCCTCCTAGTGCAGGATGCCGGCCCCACCATCCAAGGCACTCCCACCTAGGCTCAAGATTGATGCATCTGCAGGGCCCCCTCAGCGGTGACCCCCTCCCCAGGCTGTTCTGTCCCCCAACATAGAGCCCCCCCCCATTAGCCACAGACATAATTAAATTCCCATAGAGCATTACCTGAGCTCCCTATGCCTCCTCCTTCCCCCGTGTGGCGTGCTATGAAAACTTCAGGAGGGTTGAAAATATTTATCAACGCTCCACTTGGGCCAGCTCCCGCTGCATTTAAGCCCTGCCCACAGAGGTATTCCCACCCCAAAGTGCAGCCACCTGGGCCCTGTCCTTAGACACCCAGTCGTATACACTGTTTCATGTGTCACCTGCTGGGTAACAACATGAGAGGACTCCATGTTTCTAAGAACTGAACTAGCTCTTTATTAAGAAAACTATTTACAGAGATGCTGCAACTGCAGCCAGCATTCCAGCCTTGTGCACACAGACTGACCTGGTGCTTCGTCCAAACTCTTCCCACCTGAGCCTCTCCTCCTCCTTCCACAGTTTGGGCTGATTTATTATCTCTTTCTTTTTAACAGTTTTTTTCTGTGGACTAACCTATAACCAAGAGCCAACTGAAGCACAGGACAATGCATGGTTGGCTGTGTAAGGAGAGTCAGGATGAGCGCCACTCTGACATCTAGTGGTGAGTTGTGGCAAGTTGTGGAAACGAACTTCAGGGGTTGATCTCATTTGCATACGCACACCCACCCCGCCTAGCATGAGCCCATAGCTGCCCAAATGGTCACTTTGGCTGCTGTGGGATCCCCAGTTGCTCTGTTATTGGTTCAAGAAGAATAAATTATTATCCTGATTATGTGAATCAAGGATATTGGAACTGTACTTGGCCTTTTGTTATGATGGAGGGACTCGCCATCAAGTAAGTAGCACTTGCTGCGCAAGAGATATGGGTTCCAAAACTCAGTGAATTGAGAGAGGCTGGGTACAGGTATTAGTACCTGGTGGTATAGCCCTCCTGCTGAGGGTCCTGCATGCCAATTGCACTTTTCTCCTTCCACTGTAGAATGTCAGAGGTAATTTTGATTCCATTAGGAGTCTAGCATAATGACAGGTTGCAGAGTAACAGCCTTGTTAGTCTGTATTCTCAAAAAGAAAAGGAGTACTTGTGGCACCTTAGAGACTAAAGCATCCAATGAAGTGAGCTGTAGCTCACAAAAGCTTATGCTCAAATAAATTGGTTAGTCTCTAAGGTGCCACAAGTACTCCTTTTCTTTTTGCTATTAGGAGTCTAGTTACAGGTTGCTCAGCTGAATTCACTTTGGACCAATGGTGCACCGGCACTACAAGCTGAAATCACAAAAGAGCTAAAATCACTGAGTGTTGTGTTAAATAGTGGGGGAGCCTAAAGATATATTGTGGAGCAGTTTGCAGGACAGCTGGAGCAGCTCATGGAACAGCTGGCAGAGCAGAGTGGCTGGTAGAGCAGAGCAGTTTGCAGGACGGCTGAGGCAGCTCATGGGGGGCTGGCAGGGTAGAGTAGAGCAATTCGTGGGACGGCTAGTGGAGCGGAGCGGAGCCCCATGGAGAGGTGGGGCAATCAGCTTTGGACCATGTAAGGTGCCCCTTAACCCTCCCACCTCCATCCAGGTTGGGAGGTAAAACTCTGCAGATAAATTTTCAAACTCTGGGGCTGCACTGACCAGGGGCATAGACTTTTGGGTTGTTGGACTCAAGAAGCAAAGGGAAAGGACATGGCCCAATTTGCTTGGGATGGGTTTTTGCTCATGGGTTATGTTATGAATCCTGTTGGTGGTGTTCCCCCAACATAATGCCACATTGTTTCTCTCTGTTATTAAAAGGCTTTTGCTACACTCAGACTCAGTGCTTGCAAGAGGGGGAAGTATTGCCTCTTAGAGGCACCCAGCGGGGGGTGGTATATATTTGTCCCAGGTCACTGGGTGGGGGCTCTAGCCGGTTTTGAATTGTGTTATTGGAATGGAACCCCTAGGTACTGAACCCGGCCCTTGTTGTTGCCAACTCTGACGGGCAGAAACATTACAGCTGCATTGTCACTATTACCACCATCACCACCTTATGTCCCTTATTTACACAAAGGGAGATTCTGTTATGAAAACTTTACAAAAAGGGTCAGTAGGCCAGCAGTAGCCCTCTTTAGTAGCAGTAACTCCTAGTATTACTACTAACAATGTCATTCTAAGTATTTTTCCTGTTTAAATTTGTCCTTTATCTAGCAAAATGTTAAGAAGTGAGCTACAGCAACCAACTGCACCAAATTCCACCCCCTCCGCTGTATATTCTTACAAAACAACCAAAAAACCACAGAAGGTGCAATGCCCTTTGCTAAGGCCAGTCTCCAAATTCTGGCCTCAGTATTTGAAATTCAGATTTTAAATCAATGAAAACTTCTTGTGAGTTAGAGGGCAGCATTCAGGCTTCAGTAAGCAGAACACACACCATTGTACACTCCTACAGCTCACAGTTTCATAAGACTTTGCACTTTATATAGTGCATTACATTTTGAATTCAGTCTATGAATTAGTTTTAAAAGCTGTGATGAAATTCTGGTGTAGGCAAAGTAACTTTCTGTCTTATGTAGAGAAGAGGTGCAAAAGCAGGAAAGATTGATTTACTATTTATTAGGTTCAGCCATACAAGATAGATACTCAGAAGACTCCTGTTCTGCAGTTACAGATTTTCTCTTTGAGACTGAAGTGAGGGGCTATATAGTTTCTGACATTTCACTGCTTTGAAAAATCCTTAAACTGGCACATTCCTCTTCCTGGTAAAGCAGTGATATCACACCCTATTTAAAATTAGAAAGTTTAGGATACAAATAGCCAAGGAGAGAATCTTTACAAAGCCAATACCTGGTGGAAAACACTTTATTGAAAAAGAGGACAATGGAGGCTGAAATTAGCAGAATTATGTCCCTTTCATTCCCTCTCCTTTTATTACTACTTTAGTTAGCTAGCAGAGCTACATGAGCAGACAGACACCTTGTGTCAATTCTTCAGTGTTGCATCAGTGTTAATCATTGTGCAGGTGACAAACCGAGAATTATTGCTTCAAGTGAGAAATTAATTTTGGTCTAACCTTCTGAGAATTTTCAACTGACATAGCATTCTAGGCAAATTATTACTACTTTTTACTTACAGGTGTCCTATTTGACATTCTACTTTCCCTGATCTTCACAATGGATTCTTTCTATTCCACTGTAACAAGATCTGTAGATTAATGTTTATCTTAATTACTTGGTTTTTGTTTTGTTAGCTATGACACACAAGTTGCATTTTTGTGATCAGAGAAACTTCAACGCTTTAAATTGTTGCTATTGCTTTTTTTTTTTTATTAAATTTCTTTCAAGGAGTTAAGTTCTCATGGTGATCCAGTTAAAGGCACTGAAATGCATTGTGAAAAGTGTGCACCCAGACTTTTCAAGTGGCAGACAAAACTGTTATTTACAAGCAAAGTGAATCACAAGTATTATTACTGTTACAAGAAAGTCACATTAAAACTGGAGCCAACTTTCAGGATGTATTGTGTTTAAAAAAAGCCCAAACAAGTTGATCAGTGTTAGCATTTTGGTTATATGTGCAAATCACAAGAGGCACACACTATATACAATCGCTCTTCATATTCGTAAAAGTAATCAAAAGGTAGTTTAATAGTTATTTTTCCTAACTATCAAGTGAAGATTTAAGAGCTGATACATTAGAATATAGAAAGACAAGAAACTATGAATTTTGATACAGTTCATTTAGAATATATTCGTATTCCAGATACACACACAAAATAACCCTAACTTTTGGCACGATCTCCTCTCTTTAGGGTCACAGCAAGACTGCCTTTAAAAGTAGCAATGATTACTGCCCTCCAACTCTTTGGAAAAATAGAATTTTAATGCAAAAAAATTTTAGTGCAGTTGAGATTCAGATATTTCTTCATCAGAAAAGAACATTATAGACAATGTATTTAGTAGTGTTACCAAATATTTTGGGCTAGTTTGTGCTACCCTTACTCACTTTGAGTAGTGCTTTATTTCTCAAATAATCCAGTATAAATTTAAAGGAGTACTTAAGAAGTAAGGGATTTATGAAGGAGTAAGGATGTCAATTTGGTCATAAATGAGCAACTTTTCAGTTTGTGGATCCTTAAAGTATCTACTTATTCTTCAGTGAGGAATTACATTTTTAGTATAAGTGCTGTCAAGTAATGAACTTATATTTCAAAAGGTGATATAACAGGGAAAACATTTATCTTTTTTTAAACAATGATATACAAAAGACAATTGCATAGTTACAATTCAAGCACAAAGTCACTGTAAATAGTTACAAAGGCATTTATAAATGTGCTAAGTTTGCTGCTGCTGAAAGACAGCCAAATCCTGGATAGGTATTAATGTAAACCTGGAGAAAAAACAGTGTATTTGCTTAAAAACAGATTCATGTAGAGGAACAGCTTTTAGAGATCTTCATTTTAAAAATATTTTTATGCAGCAGGAATAACAGTTTAAATCCCAAAGAAAGCCATCTGAAATGCCCAATTTCCTCATATACAGCAGAAAATGTTTGTTCATTGGTTTCAACCCTTCATATAAAATGAGGCACTAGTTACACATATTCTGGACTATGTTCACACTCATGTTTCAGTCCATCTTCAGACTTGTACTTGTGCATCATTTGTTGGCTCCTAACCTCCTAGGGAAATAAGTCTTCAGAAGGTGGTGCATAAGAAAATCCAACAAATGCATCATCTGCCTCCAGCACACTGGCATTTACAATGTTATAATCAGAGGAAATGCAAACTGAATAAGGAACCATTTCTTCTGTAAAAGCTGCATCAAAATTCCTTATATCATCTGGGCCAACCTAAGAATGAGACACACAAACCAGCATTAATCATATTAATATGGCATTTGTATTTTTACATGCTTTTGTCTGTTAAATATTTTTCATTTTTCAAATTCAAAGTTGTCTACATTATGAAGTTTTCCCTTTCATAAGGAGAGCATTTAAATTAATCCCATCACTCCGCCCCTGAAAACTGGTACTGAAGCAGTTTGTTACGGGGTGTAATTCAGGCCAAAAGATCAAAGTGGTGACAGTAAATTTGCCAAATCCACATATACTGTGCAATATTTCCAGAAGGAAAAAGACAAAAGTGCTGCTTCTTAAGAGATGGTGAAAAGAAATACAAAAACAAGAAACCTTCTTTTTCTTCTCTTCACCCTCCTCATGAATTCTCCTTCCTCTCTTTTTTTTTTTAAAAATCACTCCCCATCCTCCAGTCACTCTTCATTTTCCTGTTTTTCTCCTCATTTTCCTCTCTCTGCCCCTTCTCTTTACACAGGTTTCTATAGTGTTAGTATTTTTTTAAGAGAATTTGAGCTCATGTGTATGTCAAATGGCAGCTCTCCTGGAATCAGCTTAGTGACTGACAAACACTGATTCCACCAATGACAGTTCTGCCCGTAGTCTGATACCCTATTAAGCTGAAGCAGCAACTGCAGTATGACAATAACTAGACAAAAATGGTACATCTTGCACCTCTTAGTGGGGCCTCAAATTTAAAAAACGCAACTTAGAAGAGTGCTACCCTCACTGCCAAATGCATCAGACCTATTGGGTAGGAGCTGCCCATCACCCAAACAGTTGGAGATGTAGGGGAAAAGAAAAGATCTTCCCTTTCCAGTAGTCAGGAGTGGAGAATGGAGAACAGAAGGTGGAGAAAGGTCTGAGAGAGCTGTAAAACATGTCACGGTGCAGTATTCTGACCCTGTGCCATGACATGCAAGTCATGAAAGCACAACTTTATCACATTCCAATCCAACACGATGACAAAAGCACAATGCAATGTCAGGATGGCATGTTGCTGACTTCATTCAGTAACAAAAATGGCTCTCTAGCTCTTCTAATTTAAGTACCATTGCTCTAAACAGTTCAGAAATGGTCACCAACACTGTTTGAGAGGTACTGGGGTTGCCATTCTCTGTAACTTTTAGATAGATGTCCTCATCCCATAGATTCTGCCCCACTACATGAAGAGATTCGGGAGATATAATCGAGATATACGTATTGCACCTACCACATTAGGATTAAATGGTGGTGGAATCTTCTTCTGGAGAAGGTCAGCCCAGCTGAGAGATTCAAAGAAAGGATGCCTTTGAATTTCAAGCTGCAACAGTAAGCAAAGATAAACTTTGGTTATTTCCATGTATTTCCATGATATACCCTACAGCGCTGGAATACAATGTTGTTTCAGAGATTCTTCCAGCAGGCTAGAATAAGAGTTTCTTGGATCTGGTGCAGTAACAAGCAGGGGTGAAAGTAAAGCAGTATGGTCCGGTATGGTGTACTGGTAAAAAGTAGCCACCGGTACGTCGTTGCCCCTTTGCCACCAACCGGGGAGAGGGGGTGCAAAAGAAGCAGTTGCCCTGGGGCCGGCAATTTAAAAGGGCCTGGGGCTCCGGCTGCCACAGCAGCGGCCAGAGCCCCGAGCCCTTTAAATCTTAAATCGCTGCTGGAGCCCCAGGCAGCGCAGGTGGGCTGGCTGGGGGACGCTGACCCTCCAGCCCTGCCCCTTCCACCCAAGGCCCCACCCTTTCTGGGGGGCGGGGCCGGAGCCAGCCCCTGTACCGGTAAGAGTTTGATTTTACTTTCATCCCTAGTAATAAAAAAGTTCAAGCCCATTATTTGATAAATTTGTTTTGCAATTCGTATTAGAAGGTATGGCTGGAGTGGGTAAAATTTGATGGGGAAACATTTCTGAAAAGGCTGGCCAATGCATTTTATTTTCTGCTTAAATTGAAGTCTTAAGCAAAACCTGGTTTCAAGAAGGTTTTTCAAATAGTATTTATGTTCATGTTCCTGCTCCAAGCTAACAAAACTTGCTAATATGAGCACTGCTCCAGATGGAACGCCTCCAGGAACTCTGCAGTATGTTTTCTGTTTATATCTATAGTAAACAGTTATGTCCTCCCAAACATAACTGCCTTTCATTTACTGTGTGCTGCAAAAAATGTAACTGTACTGTAGCAATCTAACAGAACTTTTAAGTTTGCGTATGACGAGATCAACACATTACAGAACATTAATAAGACTAAGCCTAAATACATCAATTAGGGGTAAAACTGCAAGATCATTTGATATCCTGCCTACACAATTCTGTGACAACTTCTCTATGCATCTTTACACAACCTTAAGGAACACTGTCAAAATATTATTTGATAGAAGTTTGCAAAACACTAGCCATTATTTGTGAAGCCATTTTGGAAGCCTGAAAAAATAATTGTTTCCTTGCCTTTTTCCTATTTGACAAATAGTATTTTTCTCACCGTTGAAAGCTGAATTTACCAAAGTGTAGCTCTTTTTGTTTTGGTAACTTCTTTGTTTGAGTACTACCATCATCAATTATATCAGCACAACTCATGGAATATAATGTTGGGAAATGTGTTTCCTTTGCTGGCAGGTACTGCAACAGTCAAGCTCAAAACACTAAGTTCTGCATCATAAATGTGTCTTCCCCTGCCCTTCAGGTTTTTTGTGACAACTAGGGTATTTTGTTTTAAAGTTGATATTTAGCATTCAAAGGACATTCTCTACCTGTTTCTTAAAAATAACGTTGAATTGTGGTCTTAAATTTGACAATGTCCCTTTAATAAATTAGTGCCAGATAATTCATTGCCAGAAAATTACATACAAAGTCTTCTCTTGCTCCAAGTCTGTTTTGCCTGTCTTTCTCCAAGAGTTCTTCCAGAATAGACCAGGCTGTAAGACTGACTCCTGGGCGCACATACAGAGGTTTGTGAAGAATATTTTCATACATCTCAGCAACATCACGGCAGTAAAATGGAGGCTGAACAAAAACAAAATGAAAAATTGAAATGTGGCTTTGAAACGGTACTGTTCAATAAAAAAAACACTTTTTTCAAATGTGAGAGTAAACTGTTCCATCAGAAATGCCAATGACTAGCAGTGAAAAATAGCTTCACCCAGTGGCAGACTGATTTCAGATAGAATAGATAGAAATTTCATTTTTTAACCAGAATTCCCCCCCTTCCTTTCCCCAAACCCCCACACTTCTTCATGAATAGGCCAATTCCTTTATCTTCACGTAACACATGCAGTGACACCAGGATTGCATTCCTCTGTTAGCTCTTTCCTGCATCTCCTGTTCTCTGCCCAGGTGTGCTCACATTCACTGGTAGCTGTGGAAGCTATCCACATTTAAAAATCTTACTGAATGTGAGCAAAAGAGCATGAGTGGGTGAACAAAGTTCTGCATGTTTTCCCAGGTGAAGTAAGGAAACTCGTTTGTATGTGAGGAGGAAATGTAGTTTGTGAAACACAAAACAGCTGTTTTTAGAAAGGTTACAAAAAATAAACCCTAGCTGAAGCGTGGGAAGATTTGTTTTTTTATTGCTGTATTAAGAAGTAATCTGGAGGAAATTGGAAATTTTAGGGTTAAAAATACTTTGCCAATGTCTTTGGTACCACTTTTGGCAAGTAGTACTTTACTTTTATAGGGCAGCACCACTGCTGCTTCAATAGACGCTTGCATTTATTCTGGGTTATATCTGCTTGACTCCACTGGATAAGAATTATTTATGTCACATCAGTTTGGAGAGCAGAAATTTAGACTTCAAAAAGAAAAACGAAATTCAAGAGACAAAACCAGATGGTAAGTTAGAAAGCTACAAAACAAGTTATTCACCAGTTAAAGTGTGTTTTAACTGCTTTGAAAAGTTATATATTACTAACTATAGTATTCAAGTAAAGAGTTTGAAGGAAAAAGGTAGAATACTTACCAACCCATAAAGCATTTCATATAGAACCGCACCAAGGCACCACCAGTCTACTGTGTTGTCATAGGGCTGTTTTCTGATCACTTCTGGGGCAAGGTACTAAAGAAAAAAAAAGTTAGGCTGGTTATATTCAAATCTAGCCTTTATCCAAGCAACTATTTTACAATACATCTTTAGAAAAATTACTGTATAGATTCCTACAGAGTTCTCTGGTCCTTTAACAAACTTGGTAAATCTCGCTGACATCCGGCCAATTGTTTAAATGGCTAGCTGTTGTTTCCCAGTTCAAGTTATCCTTTATACCCACTGACAATTTGCCAAATTACTGTGCCATCTCTAAACTGACAATTCTTTCAAGTTTCAGGGAAAGGTCACTGCTCTGTAGCTTCACAGACAACTAAGCAACAGCTAGAAAAGGAGTACTTGTGGCACCTTAGAGACTAACCAATTTATTTGAGCATAAGCTTTCATGAGCTACAGCTCACTTCATCGGATGCATACTGTGGAAACAGCTGAAACCACAGTGTGGGAATCTGCAAAGAAACAGCTTCCCTCTGCCAATGGCATCTCTCTTTCTCAAGGGCAAGTTGTTCATTAACCAATCCTGTTGCCCTCCTTGGGCTTGAATACTGAATGAGGGATTTAAAAAGTGGGAAATACATGGAAGCATCTCATTCTTCTTCAAACCAAGAAAATGTTTCTTACTCCTCCTTATTGTTACTGCATAGTCCAGGGGTGGGCAAATTTTCTGGCCCGAGGGCCACATCAGGGTGCAAAACTGTATGGAGAGCCGGGTAGGGAAGGTTGTGCCTCCCCAAACAGCCTGGCCCCTATCCCCTCACCACTTCCCACTCCCTGCTTCCCCAAAACCCCCAACCCCCCCCGCTCCTTGTCCCCTGATCACTCCCCCCCAGAACCCTCCCCAACCCCATTCCCCATCCCCTGACCGCCCCCACCCCATCCAACCGCCTCCTGTCCCCTGACTGCCCCCCGGGATCCCCTGCCTCTTATCCAACCCCCCAGCCCCCCTACGATGCCACTCAGAGCAGCGTGTCTGGCTGCTGCACCACCCGGCCGGAGCCAGACACGCTGCTGCGCTGCGCTGCCCTGCATGAGCGCACAGCCCAGAGCGCTGCCCACACAGCGGTGTGGCTGCGGGGGCTGGGGTACAGCGGGGGAGAAGCTGGGGGCTTAGGGACCGGGCAGGACAGTTCCGCGGGCCAGATGTGGCCCGCGAGCTGTAGTTTGCCCACCTCTGGCATAATCACATGATCTATATTTTAAGTTTCAATGAGGCTTCAGACAAATAATAAATCATCAATTGTGAAATATCCAGAGATTTTTTTTTTGCCACAAATTAGTCAGGGGACACAGATTTGAAGGACACATTCCATATCATGGTTTGCCATCAATTACTGGATGCCAACATGACATTAACAGGTTTCTAGGTGCCTCACAAAAAAGTTTATTCAGGATTTAGACACTTATATGGTTCTCAACACCATAATATCTGAGTAGATACATTTGGAACAGAATCTCCTAGCCCCACCAGGCTATTCCGTACAGATACTCAGTTATTTAGAATTTTGACGCTACGGCTGGATCATTATTGTTCTCACAGCCCTGACCTGCAATGCTTTTGCTCCTTCAGTCCTTGCCTCTCCTCCCTTTTGAGCAGAGATTGCTGACTCTACTTTATAGTCAGTTAGGTTTTTGTGATATGGACAAATATAGGGACCATAGAGAGATCATACTAAACACTCAGGTACCATTGTAACAAGTGGAGTTTAAATATTAAGCTAGATCATTAAACTTTTAGCAGCTCATGAATGATCTGAATCCAAGTCCCAGAGTAGACAGACTGGTACACAACCCACAACACTCAAACTCAGGAAAAGCTTTTTATAAACTGGGGCCGCAGGCCATAATGTTGCAATCCTCTTGTGTAAGTCTAATATGAATTACACCAAATGTATTAAAAAAAACTCTCTCTTAGTACAAGACCAAGATTTTCTATGTAATCCATTTCACAACTGGTCATAACAAATATTTAACCACAGAAGCACTCCATATTTTGGCATTCAAATTTTCCAACAAAGTTCAATAGACACATTGTTTTTCTTCAGGTTTGATTAATATATGCTTTATTTTATGGACTCAGATAGATTATAACTCACGTAAATCGCTCCCACAAGAATTTTCACTGACAGACACTTCGCCATTTGTACAATCCTTGTCAACTACAAAATATCTTAATTCATGCAAGATTATCTATCTATCTGCCAACTTTGAAAACTACCAACACTTCCTACTCACCCCTCCCCCCCCAAAATGAAACCCTCTCCCCCAGTTTGTTGTGGCAATTTGCTGGCTAAAACTCAAGGAAGTTAGCTTACTTCTGGTGTCCCACAAAAGGTTGCAGTGGTATCCGAGATAGCAATCCCTTCTTTACAGAGTCCAAAATCTGTTAAGACAACATGTCCCTGTAGAGAGAAAAAACAAACAAAACAGATCTTACTGAAAAACCAATTTAAGACTGTATCATAATATTTTGCACTTACATAAAGATAAGTGTTAATGTAAAGACGCATTTTTGGACATCAGATAGGATATGCTTACCAGTGAGTCTAAGAGAATGTTTTCTGGTTTCAAATCCCTATTAAAAACAAAGTCTTATATTAATCCTCCTATGAGCGTAACCAAAAAATGAAGAGACAGAGTTTTATACTAATAAGTAGTCACTTATTTTTTACACAAAAACTTTTAAAAAATTGGGTCAGGCCTCTGTTTAAAAAAAATAATTATAAGCTTAAAGTCACAAGTCCACACGTGTAAATAGGTTGAATAAAAACAGCAAATGCAGCTTTTCTTGATTTGCTACATTTATCTTAATGCAGAACAAAAATAAGTTTTAGGAAATGGTTACCTGTATACAATATTTATGGAGTGCAAGTAGCCCAATGCACTGGCTATTTCAGCAGCATAAAATCTGGCTCTGTGTTCAGGAAAGGAGCGTTCTCTTTGTAAATGAAAGAACAGCTGTAAATATATGAAGATGCAAATGATAAGACAAACTGGCATACAAATTTCAAATTACAAGGTGTAATCCTTTGCAGTAACAAGCAAGTCACTTTCAGTTTTTTTATGACAAGCTAGCAGAACTGTGAAACAAATTAAAAAATTTCCTTTTACATAACCGTTTATATCCCTCTTTTAGCAACTTCTTTATTTTCTCACTTGGGTAACCCCAGCAGTACTTAGCGTGTAATGAGTTAATAGATAGGAGTACAGGATGTTTCCCAGAAAGTCAAGTCCAGCCAATACAAATTTACTCCTGAGGGCATTCTGCACCAAAAAATTAAAAATTCTGCATACACTATTTTAAAATTCTGCAAATTTTATTTGTCAAATAAATGTGAAGGCTCCAACATGGCACTGGGGAGCACAGGCCACTGGCTGCACAGAGGTGGAAGATCATTGTGCAGCTTCCCCGCCCCGCACCGGGACATGGACTCAGTGGTGAGGCTGCACCCAACCCTGACACAGCACAAGGACCGGGCCAGGTGCACCAGGTGTGGGCAAGCAGGCTCAACAAGGCAGGATCCAACTGTGGAGAGGTTTAGTGTGGGGGGGATCCAGGTGTGGGTTGAGAGGGTTCTGTGTGGGACAATCTGGGAGCGGATGGCTCAGTGGGGGATCAGGGTGTGGCAGGGGATCTGGATACACAGGGGCTTGTTGGGGAGTTCTGGGTGCAATGGTAATGGGACTCTGCAGGGTGGTCCAGGTGAAAGTGGTTGGTGCTCAGAAGGGGTGCATGGGGGGCAGAGAAGAGCTTGGCAGGGCGGTCGGTGTGGGGAGCTCAGTAGGGGGGTCCAGATGCTCAGGGAGTGGGGCTCAGTAGGGTGGGGATCAGAGTGCGAGTGGCTTGTTGGGGCGGTCCATGAGCAGGGCTTGTCAGGAGGGTTTTGGGTGCAGGGGGAGTGAGCCTCAGCAGGACGGTCTGGGTATGAGGGGGTCTGGTTGCACAGGGGTTGGGTGGATGGGGGAGCAGCTCCCTGTACAGAGATCCCTCCCCCTGCAGCTGAGGAGTGATGGGTGCAGGAAGCAGGGTGGGGGGAATTTTCAGAGCTTCCTACAGCCAGGGGAGAAATCTTGGGGTGGGTCTGACACAGGCTTAGATGCCGTGCAGGAGAAGAGGAAGCCCTGTCCTCCCCAGCCCAGCCAGGACTAGCAGCTGAGCCCGGCACAGGGTAGGAACCGCCAGCTGGGTCTTCCCCAGTCCCGCCCCCCTTCTCCACAATGATTTACCTCTCTGCCGGTTGTCCTAGGCACCCAAAAAACTTACTGCTGGGGAGGGATGCATGACCGCTCGTGGCTTCCCTTTGCTTCCCCATCAAAAAGTCATTTTTCTGCAGGGAAGCAAAGAAATCTGCGGGGAACATAAATGCTGTTCTCTTTTTTCTTCTCTATTCTCTTCTATTTTAGAAGATAACAAATAGCATACTAACTTCACAATTGTATGTACGGAGCACTTCAATACAAGTTCTTGCATAACAGTCTAATGGATCTTACATTCTATTCTGAGACCACTTGGAAAAGTTTTATATTATGAGGATACATTCTTCAATCCTACAAGTTACTTGGTGCAGATGGACCCCCTGGGCCCACAGGCTTCAACTGGTGTCTGCATGCGTGCAGGAGTCTACTGACATTGAGTTACTTGTAGGGTTGGAGACTACCTTGCCATGCACAGAACTGAAAAGTTAGCTACAGGAAAAGAGAGTTAGCTTTCCGTAACTGGTGTTGTTCGAGATGTGTTGCTCATGTGCATTCCATATTAGGTGTGTGTGCTCGTCACATGCACCAGTGCCAGGAGCTTTTCCCTCAGCAGTATCCATAGGGGACCACTTCTGGTGCCCTTTGGAGTGGTGTCTACATAACATGGTATAGGTGGCACCGCTGGCTCCCCACCACCCTCAGTTCCTTCTTGCTGGAAACTCAGACAGCGGGGAAGGAGGACAGGTTGTGGCATGGACATGAGAAACACATTTAGAAGAACAACAGTTACGGAAAAGGTAACTGTCTTTTCTTCTTCGAGTGCTTGCTCATGTCCATTCCATATTAGGTGAATCCAAAGCAGTATCCCTGGAGGCAGGTAGCAGTTCACGGAAGCGTAGATTGCAACACAGCTCTGCTGAACCAGTGTAATCTCTGGCCTGAGTGACGGCATAATGAGTGGTAAACATGCGAACAGAGGACCACATTGCAGCTCTACAGATGTCCTGGATAGGGATGTGTGCCAGGAAGGCCGCCGAAGACACCTGCGCTCTCGTCAAATGGGCTCTGAAAATCGGCAGCGGTGGAACCCCCACCAGATCCTAACAGGTCCTTATGCACAAGGTAATCCAATTAGAAATCCTCTGCGAGGACACCAGGTGACCTTTCATCCTATCCACTGTAGCGATAAAGAGTTGAGTCAATTTTTGGAAAGGCTTGGCACGTTCTAAGTAGAAAGCCAAGGCCCTCCAGACTTCCAGGACGTGAAGACGCCTCTCCTCACTGGTTTTGTGCGTTTTGGGACAGAACACTGGAAGAAAGATGTTCTGGTTCATATGAAAGGTGGAGACCACCTTTGGCAGGAAGGCCGGGTGGGAACGCAACTTAACCTTATCTTTGTAGAAGACCGTGTACGGAGGTTCTGAGGTCAAGGCTTTAATTTCGGAGACCCATCTCGCCGACGTTACCACCACCAGGAACGCGACCTTCCATGACAATTGGGAAAGGGAGCAGGAACCCAGTGGCTCAAAGGGCAGGCTGGTGAGCCTAGAGAAGACCAAGTTAAGATCCCACTGTGGGACAGGAGTCCATACCTGCAGGAAGAGTCTCTTGAGCCATCTCAAGAATCTGACCGTCATATCATGGGAAAACACTGTCTGTCCTTGGATCGGCGGGTGAAAAAGTGGAGATGGCCACTAGATGCACTCTAATGGAAGAGTGTGCAAGTTCCTTAATGGAGCAGGTAGTCCAGATCAGCCTGTATGGAAGAACGTGAGGGAGAGATGCCATGCTCGGACGCTCAGCGGGAAAATCTCATCCACTTGGCCAGGTAAGTCAGTCTGGTTGAGGGCTTCCTACTAACTATGTATAACTATTTTACAGGATTTTAGAGTTTGCAAGAACAGAGAAAGAATCAATGCTAGCCGAAGCAGCAGATGTTCTAGCACCGTCACTGGCGGCAAGAAGGAACTGAGGGTGGGGGGAGCTGGCAGCTCTCCTTTCACTGCAACCAGGGGGCGCCAGAGCTGGTCCCCTAGGGATACTGCTGAGGGAACAACTTCCAGTACCAGTGCATGTGGCAAGCACACACACCTAATATGGAATAGACATGAGTAAGCACTCAAACAATATTTTCTTTCTAAGGTCCTCTTCTGCCTCTCTTCAAATGAGTGTTTTCATGTCTTTGGTCATTCTCATTGTCTTCCTCTGGGCCCTCTTTATTTCTGCAGTATCCTTTTAGAGATGGGGTAACAAGTATTGCACACAGTATTTCAGATGAGGCCGCACCACTGATCTATATAAAATGTATTGTTATATTTCCATTTTATTCACCATCACATTCTTTATTAAATGTAACATCTTGTTTGCTTTACTGACTGCAGCTGCATGTTGAGCAGAGGTTTTCATTGAGCTGTTTACAGCGATACCCAGATCCCTTTCTTGAGTTGACTGTCAATTTAGAACTACAACAGAACCTCAGAATTATGAACACCAGAGTTGCAAACTGACTGGTCAATCATACACCTCATTTGGAATGGGGATTACAATCAGGCAGTAGCAGAGAGAGGCAGACACACACACAAAAAACAAACAACATTTAATGCAGTACAGTAACTACGAAAACAAGAAAGGGAAAGTTTAAAAAAAAGATTTGACAAGGTAAGGAAACTGTTTCTGTGCTTGTTTCATTTAAATTGAGATGGCTAAAAATCAGTATTTTTCTTCTGCATAGTAAAGTTTCAAAGCTGTGTTAAGTCAGTTCAGTTATAAACTTTTGAAAGATCAATGCTTTGTTCAGAGTTATGAACATTTCAGAATTATGAACAACCTCCATTCCTGAGGTGTTCTTAAGTCTGAGGTTCTACTGTATGTAAGGCGCAAGAGTAGCTTAAATTTTTCCCTCAAAGGGACATTAGTTTGCATTTGTCAACATGAAATTCGGTTTGCCACCATGCTGCCCATTCACTGAGTTTGTCTGGGTCTCTCTGGTCATGACTAACCTAAATAACTTTGTCTCATCTGCAAGTTTTGCAGCCTCACTCCTCACCACTTTCCAAATTATTAATATGTTGACCTATACAGGACCTAGAACAGAACCTTGAGGCACCCCACTGCTAGCTTTTTGCCATGATGAAAACCAACCGTTTACACTCAATTCTTTTCTTAATCCTCTCTCCTCCAACCCCAAGCCAGTTTTTTTATTTTGCCTCTGATCCCATGACTACTTTCCTTCTTTAGCAGCCTTTTGTGCAGAACCTTGTCAAAAGCATTTTGGAAATCTAAATTATGTCAACTGATTCTCTTTTATCTAGTACTTTATTGATATGTTCAAAATATTCTAAGAGATTAGTGAGATATGATTTTTCTTTAAAGGAAGTGCACTGGTCAGACGCTATGCTATCATGATTTTCCAGGTATTTTGTAATTCTGTTTTAAAATAGTAATTTCAACCAAATTTCCAGGTAAAGATGTGAAGTTTAATGGTTTAGAATTCATCATATTACTCCTAGAGATGTTTTAAAATAGTAATATTTGCTACCCTCCAATCCTCTGGAGCAGTGGCTGTTAAGGAGATATTGTGTACTTTTATCATCAGCTCAGCCTATTCAGACTTGAGCTCCTCCAGAACTCTTGGGTGTATGTTATCTGGGCCTAGTGACTTACTGCTTGTTAAATAATCAATTTACTCCAGCATGTCTTATTAAAATTTACAGATTTCATCCATCTCTTTCACAAGTTCTTCCTCAAGTTACTTATGGTCTCCTCAGCTTCAGTGTTGGTGCTCAGAGTAAGCTATGCTGCAGATAACAAGGCTGTTTAAGAATTGTGTATTGAGGTTTATATTGAGAGTTGCATAAAAATGAGTTTTACAAGAAAGGAAGAAACTCTTCAATAGTTGCAAATAAGTTTTGAATGCAAGTCTACAGCAACATCTTGAAAGCTGTAACTGGTAGGTAAAATCAATAGGATTTTAATTTACTTACAGAAATATTAAAATCAGCACATTTTACAGTGGATGATTTTTATTTTTTCTGTAAATTAGCCTAAGAGGAGACAAAAACCTAAAGAAATATGAAAACTACTTACCTCCCCTCCATTAACAAAATCCAGAACAAAGTAAAGCTTTTCTGTTGTTTGGAATGAGTAATGTAATCCAACCAAAAATGGATGTTTCAAATTTTTCAACAGTACATTACGTTCAGCCATAATATGTTTTTGCTGCAAGGAAGTGAAAGGTCAATAAGTAAATAGGAACAATTTTGTAATTGAAGGGGAAAAGAAAAACGCATTTCCCCTCACCTCTTTCCTGTTGAGAACAACTTTTTTCTGCAATACTTTAACTGCATAAAATTTCCCATCCAGTTTTCGTTTTGCAAGAAGAACCTGTGAAATTTAAGATGAGAGAGGAGACATGGTTAGCGTAGTTCTCATTCTGATATTAAAGATTATCTGGAGAAACATGATTAATACAATTACTTCACTGTACAATTTCTTGGTCCTTAAAATAGTTCACAATTATTACCAGTATCACTAGCAAAAGGAGACTGACCAGAATATGGAATCTAAGATCTTGCACAGTTTCTGCTGAACTGTAATGTCACAATGGAGAGCTCATGCAGGGCCAAATTATGGCACAGGCACTACAGGTCCATGCCTAGGGCCCCAGCTCCTGGAGTGGAGGAGGGCGGAATCTTGTCTCTTTTTAAAATATATGTTTCTAGTCTTCATGGTTGTGGTGAAATGCTTGGAAGTAGGACTAAAGAGCCTCAAACACTAGCGCCGAGATGGGTGAACTGCTCCATCTATCTTAATAGCGTATTGCCACAAAGACCCACTGCTCTGGGCAGCCCAGCCAACACCACCCCAAACAAAGAACTGGGTGTGTGGCAGTAGTTGAGTGAGCCCAGCATGCCCACCCAGCAGATGATGCAGCAGCAGGAGTGCAAGTACTGAGGTGCCTCCCTGCTGCCACCCTTGCCTCTCTGTGGGGAAGAAGGACCCCCTACTGCTCCAATGACAGGGAAAACCCTGCTGCTGCTCCTGGTCAGGAGTTGAGGGGGTCCCATGCCACTGCTACTCCAGGTGGAAGGGACAGTGCCATGGTATGAAGTGGGGCTGTAAGGGTGGAGCCACAGGGGGCCTTGTGTCCGTCGGCCCCATGTTGCCTTAATCCAGCCCTGAACTTGTGAGTACCACTTCCCAGTGTTCCCCAAATTTAGTGCCAGTGTGCAGTTCAGTCAGGATAAGAAACAGTAAGAAAGCTCACCTTGCCAAAGCTGCCTTTCCCAATAACTTTCAAGAAGTCGAAGTCTGTTGGTTTAGCGCTGAAAGCGATTCAGAAAGGAGGAAGGTTACTTGGTGTAGAAAATATCAACTTCACAATTTTACACAGTGCTCAGAATTATATTTAAACAAGTGCTTGAACTGCAAACGAAGTGCTGATGTGAGCCACTATTTCCCTGCACATCATGTCCCACTTAAGGCCTGCTAGTAGCATGGAGGCTCCCCATACCAGCTCCTCTTTTATGGCCTGCAATCAAACCCTTCCCTCTTTTCACTTCCTATTTTCTGCCAGGGAAACACAATATAACTGTTAGTGTTACAATTTAAATAAAAATAAAATTGACAAAACAGACTCAGCTCCCCACTTCTCTGCTCTTTGTTCTTTTCTCCTCCTCCCCACATCTCTCGTGTTCATTCTAGTCCTTTTTTCTTTTTTTAAGTCTAGGTTTTCCCCTCATACATCCTGCTTTCCTCCTGGGGCATCCCGTGCTTGAAAAAGGCTGTTTGTTCCTTGTCCTTCCTCCATTCTCAAGTCTCCCCTTTCTCCCACCCCTCCCCCATTCTGTTCTTTGCATTCCATTTTTTGGCATCTCTTCCTCTTCCTTTGTCTTGTTCTATAGTCTGCCTCACTGTCCATCTACCTTTCCTCGCTGTTTTCTATTCCTCAAATTTGTCCTCCTATTCTCTAGCCTCTGCACTTCCTCCCCTCACTGCCCACCCTACTTTCTTCCTATGACTCCCTGCCTTTCCCTTTCTTCACTCTGGGAGGTACACGTATTCCGAGGCATTTGGCATTCAGGTGCCACTCTATCTCTTGGCCTTCCAACCTTTCTTCTTCACATGGCTTGTGCCCTCCAATTCGACAATTACAAGGACCACCATCCACTCTCTATTTGTTGCCCTTTTATTGACTGCACTACCAAAGAGGATTTGGGGCACGATATATAAAGCCCCACACTCTCTCCCAGTGGCGCAGTACTATCAATGAGGAGAATAGCAAACATGGGGAGCAGACACCCTAAGCAAGAAATTAGAAGAAAGGCAAAAAGGATGAGGGAGTCGGGAGACCCAGCAATGAGAATAGGAGCCACACAGAATGTGTCAGAAGGAGAGGAAAGACATAATGATTGCATGAGCCAGTTTTTCATATCAACATAATATAATTCCTTATATTGTACTGTAGAAGTTTGACATTAACACAAGTTTACACTAACAGAAAATAGATTAACCAGGTTGACTTGTTTTGATCTACATAGTGGTTTTATATGTATCTTCAGACCAAAATCTGTTCTTCTTGAGTAATGAAGAAACAGCCCTTTTGCTCTCTAGGCTAAGAGAAGCTGGGCAATTAAGATAAGCCATGGATAGACTCCAAACCAAATTATTTTAGTGAAGGAAGAATGGGAAAAGCAACAATTGCAAATTAGGGCCTAAAAAAACAGAAAGGGAGACAATGGGGCTCCTCAGGGCTGTGTGAAGGTTGCTATGGACAAATTCTGTCCCCACAACTCTTCCCTCAGTCATATAATAGGGGGGATGGAACAAACTGCAATTCTGTACAAGAGTTGGGGTTTGAACTTTGTTTGCCGGGGTATATTTTAAAACTGCTGCCATGGAGTTGCAAGGAGGAGCATTTATCTTGCCTGCATAATATCATCATCTGCTCCACTCATGTTTGAAACTTAGTAAGTTACAAAACCTGTTAGATAAAAGAAGTGGGGGCGGGGGGGAAGAAGGACGAAGAATAGGAAGAAAAATCTGTAAGGGGGTCTGCCTCTTCAGGATTGCAGCAACCCTGCTAGTAGTGCTCTGAAGTGGAAAGGGGAGGCATGTCATTTGCATATTTCAAAGATACTCTCTCCCACCCCAAGAGCATTTATATATTCTTTCTATTGTTTAAATGGAAACTATTTATGTAGACATCACTACACATCTCAGATTTGTTTGGGGGTACACTACTGGTAAAGAATCTGCTGATTATGCTAAAATCACACAGCATACAACTAATGTGCATGATAATATTTACTTAATGCCGAGTTAGAACCTTTGCTTCCTCTCAAGTTGCACAAAGTAGCAAATAAAGGCACGTATCTGGAGAACATTTCATATAGTTAGCAATTAAAGTCTAACTTTTGGTTTATATTTAACTAAAACCTACTGAGGATTTCCAGATGGTCCCAGGTTGATATTCTGTGAGGTAGAGTTTAGCTGTAGGAAGGAAAAAAAAAAACAAGCCTCAGATCAGATTAGATTTGTTTACCCATTAAAAGGAAATCCCATCTATTATCCTTCAGCTAATACTCATTGCAAAATATTCAATTAGCTCAAACCATCTCTACATTTATATTTCTTATTATTTTCTATGTAGTATTTTTAAAAATACATTTATAAAAGCACCCAATCTAGATGCTAAATTAAAGTATCAGAAGAGTTAATAGGAAGGGTTATACAGACAGTGTAAAAGTATAAAAAGTAATACAGATGGCAAGGTTACGAACAAAATTTTAAGTCTCAGCCCTTTTAACAAGTAACTTAATGTCCAAAATTTAACCCATTTTGAAATTGTTTTATTCCAGGAATATTCTCCGGATGTTTATTTAAATTTTTTAATCCACCACACTCTTGCCAATATATTATCAAAATAAACACTGCTTATGCAGGACCAGTTAAAGACATTGTGTTAAAAGGCTGTTGCCAACCTTTGATAATCTGACACACAAGGTTAATTATTCCAATTCCAGTAACTGCAGGGATGTTGCCAATGCTGGTACACACCCACACACAGAGCATATAAATTACAGGGAGAGGGAGAAGCTCTTCCCATCTCCAATCTCTTCCCTCAAATTTGTTTGCTCTCATCTTTATTCAAAATCAAGAAAAGCTTGGGTACTGACTAGAGGAAAATCCCACTTAGTTTGTGACAAGTTTTGGTTGGCGGGGGAGAGGAGGAAGCTAACAGTGAGTCACAAAAATCAGAGGTACTGTAGGAATGGAGAAATCCAGATGACGACTCTGGAAATAATTACAATCCAGCACTGAATTATACAAATTAGAATTAATTATACATTTTAGTGAACAAATTTTTTATGCAAACTAATGCCATTTTTATGTATTAACATTTTTCAAAAAGCTGCTACATACTTTATATTTATTTTTGAGAGCTATTTTCTTACTTATTTATTGGTCAGGTTCATATAGTAAGCAACTAGTTACTGGAGAGCTTTTATTTCTACCACAGGCTTGGCCCAAATTACTCTGAATTAAATACCTTTAAAATTTGGTTTTTGTTGTAAGCATGACCAGTCAGTATGGTCATACAGCAATTTCCAGGCTTTCCACAACAAATGGCTTTAAACTAAATTATGATGCTTGAAACTTGCTTCAAGGAAGCAAAGGGAAAATGCTACACTGAATTATGGTACATGATTAAGAAAACTTTCTACAGATACATTAGAAGCAAGAGAAAGACCAAGGATAGGGAAGGACCATTACTGAATGAAGAGAGAAAAAACAGAAAATGTGGAAATCGCAGAAATGCTAAATGACTTTTTTATTTCAGTTTTCACCAAAAGTTTGCAATTGGATATCTACCTTAATGAATGCCAGTGAAAATGAGGTAGGATTAGAGTCTAAAATAGGGAAAGAACACGTTAAAAATTACTTAGACATATTAGAAGTCTTCAAGTCACCAGGGACTGATGAAATACATCCTAGAATACTCAAGGAGCTGACTGAGGAGCTATCTGAATCATTAGTTATTATATTATCTTCAAAAAGTCATGAAAGACAGATGAGATCCCAGAGGACTGGGAAAGGGCAAATATAGTGTTAAAGGGGAATAAAGACAACCCAGGGAATTACAGACCAGTCAGCTTAACTTCAGTCCCCAGAAAGATAATGGAGCAAATAATTAAACAATCAATTTGCAAACACCTAGAAGATAAAAAGGTGATAAGTAAGAGTCAGCACTGATTTGTCAAGAACAAACCATGTAAAACCAACCTAATCACTTTCTTTGACAGGGTAACAAGCCTTGTGGATGGGGGGGAGAAGTAGATGTGGTATATCTTGCCTTGAGTAAGGCTTTTGATACAGTCTTGTTTGACCTTCTCAGAAACAAACTAGGGAAATACAACCTATTATAAGGTGGGTGCATAACTGGTTGGAAACCTGTTCCCAGAGAGTAGTTATCTGTGGTTCACAGTCAAGCTGGCAGGGCATATCAAGTGGGTCTGGTTCTGGTCTATATCTTCATCAGTGATTTAGATAATGGCATAGAGAGTATACTTATAAAGTTTGTGGATGATAACAAGCTGGGAGGGGTTGCAAATGCTTTGGAGGACAGGATTAAAGTTCAAAATCATCTGGACACACTGGAAAATAGTCTGAAGTAAATAGGATGAAATTCAATAAGGATAAGTGCAAAGTATTCTACTTAGAAAGGAACAATCCGTTGCACACATACAAAATGGGAAATGACTGCTTAGGAAGGCGTACTGCAGAAAGGGATTTGGGGGTCATAGTGGATCACAAGTTAAATATGAGTCAAGGGTGTAACACTGTTCCAAAAAAAGCAAATATCACTCTGGGATGTATTAGCAGGAATGTTGTAAACAAGACAAGAATTAATTCTTCTGCTCTACTCTGCACTAATTAGGCCTCAACTGAGGTACTGTGTTCAGTTCTGGGTGCCACATTTCAGAAAACATGTGAACAAATTGAACAAAGTCCAGAGAAGAGAAATAGAAATGATTCAAGGTCTAGAAAACAACCTATGAGGGAAGATTGAAAAAATCTGATTTGTTTAGTCTGGAGAAGAGAAGACTAAGAGGGGACATGATAACAGTTTTCAAGTATGTAAAAGGTTGTTACAAGGAGTAGGGAGAAAAATAGTTCTCTTTAACCTCTGTGGACAGCACAAGAAGCAATGAGCTTAAACTGAAGTCAGGGCAGTTTAGGTTGGATGTTAGGAAATCCTTCTTGTCAGGGTGATAAAACACTGGAATAAGTTGCCTAGGGAGGTTGTGGAATCTCCATCGTTGGAGATTTTTAAGAGCAGTTTAGACAAACACCTGTCAGGAATGTTCTAGCTAATACTTAGTCCTGCCTTGAGTGCAGGGCACTGGACTAGAAGATCTCTCAAGGTCCCTTCCAGTCTTACCATTCTATGATTAAATACATACATATAATGAGAAAGTGCTGCAGGACACTTCCCTAAAAGAGCGTTGCAGGAAGTCACATTTTTACTACAGATATATTCTGATCAATTTTCCCAATTTTTTTAAATTTACGGAACATCTGAACCATGACAGAGCAGAAGAATGTTAACTAGGAATATGATGAACATTTAAGGAGAAAAAAAAAAGATATTCCATTTATGATTAGTGCCCATTACTGTATTTTATGATGGATGGAAAATTAAGTTGAAAACATACATCCATTATTGAGATTTTAAGTTACATTTGTCACCACAACTTTTATTGATCTTAAGATTTCTATTAAAAAGTCTAAGAAATTAAAAAATGGAAGCCCTCATTTCTATTGAGAAATGTAATGAAGTGCCATTGTACATTTAATTAATTCCTCTACCTCCAAAGAGGTGAAAGGTAGAGAGTCTAAAATTAAGGAACAGTGTAGAAACAAATATTATACAAGATTTGTAGATACAGAAGACTCAGTAACTTTAAATGTGTGGCACTGAAAACGACATCAGGAAATTGATTTTATCAATTAGGGCCCAGGAAAGCTTATTAATTAATGCACAATAGTAGCTTCAGTACCCAGAGAAGTGTATTGGAAAAAACTGACTTTTGTGGGAGTTGAAGCAGGCCGAAAAACGTTAAATAACTTTTGCATGCAAAGAATCCTTTACTACTGGGACATGAGAGAGACAGAATGGATTAAAATAATTTAATTATTCTATTATTCTACCCAGCAAGACAATTTTTTTCTACCAATTCTTAAAGCAGGACATTGTAACTAGAAGTTCTTAAGACAGAGGCTCCTAAATGGATTTTGAGAGACTTAATACAATTCTAAACCCAATATAGTGGCTTTAGAATCACAGAATATCAGGGTTGGAAGGGACCTCAGGAGGTCATCTAGTCCAACCCCCTGCTCAAAGCAGGACCAATCCCCAAATAAATCATCCCAGCCATGGCTTTGTCAAGCCTGATCTTAAATGTCTTAGTAAGAGACTGAGGTTTGAAACCTCGCAGTGTAAAAGGTGAACTGTGAACCAAAGTTAATTTTTCTTTGAGCTACCATAAAAAATGGCTTCAAATATTTTTCAAGTTCGATTCTCCTTTTTTTTTTTTTTAGTTATTAAGCATTTAAATATCTGATCCTCCTATCCTTCTCTTTCCTGGATGTCTCTGGCAAGGTCTTTGGAGGACCTAAACAGTGATGTCACGTGAACTGTAACCTGAGCCACAGCTCTTCCAGCCCCTAACAAATGGGGAAAACAGATTGTTAACACTTGTCATATCTAACAATCATGTCCACCCTTGTTGGTGGTACTTGTCTTTGCAGTTCATACTTTGGGGAAAAACTGAGTAACCTTATTGGAAAGGAACAGGGAGGACCCTGTTGGAGAACAACTTATTTTGTTGAAAGTTACAATACATATGAAATTGACCTCATGTAGTTACAGTTTGTTCAAAAGTGCAGGATTACTGTTCTTCTACTCCATTCTAGCTGACTGTTACCTTTGGATTGCTCCTTTCATCCTCATCTTCAGATGGATCTGACTGATGCTTTGGGTTGTCCATCTGAAGAAATGCTCTGACGTCTGGGCTAAAAATATAATTAAACCTATTAGGACATTAGTAACTTAAATGCATTTGCAACTCATTACTACAGAAGTAGAATTTTCTTCACATTCGCTATCATATTATGCACCTGGTAAATAACAAAAACCCTTCCAACAAACTGGTTTTATGGGGACTTGTAATGCAGGTAGTTCACTCTCTACATCTACACTACAAGATACAGGTACAATTCCCAGCTCCTATTTGTGCTAGCTCTCATCAGTGCCAGCACACCAAAAATAGAACAGCTGGGGGTAGCATGGGCAGTGGCAGCACGGGTTAGCTGTGCTGAATACATACCCACAGGATTCAGGCGGGTTTGTACTCTGCACAGGTAGCCCCGTGCTACGGCTACCCATGCTACTATTGCTATGCTACTATTTTTAGTGCACTAGCTCAGATGAGAGGTAGCACAGGTATGTCTAAGAACAGAACAACAGCCATATGAGGTCAGATCATTGGACCATCTAGCCCAGTAACCTCTTTTCTGACAGTGGCCAATGCCAGGTGCTTCAGAGGGAATGAACAGAACAGGTAATCATCAGGTGATCTATACCATGTCACCCATTCCCAGCTTCTGGCAAACAGAGGCTAGGGACACTTCACAGCATGGTTTTGCATCCCTGCCTATCCTGGCTGATAGCCATTGATGTACCTATCCTCCATGAACTTATCTAGTTCTTTTTTGAACCCTATGTGATGTTACACCCTGTATTCTTCATAGAAATATGGTTATGATATGAATATGGCATAACTAAGATATACTTTATGCAAGTTGGCTCAAAAAGATATAATTGGAAATGTGATGATTTACTGAATGTGATTATCCCATTTGTATGGACGTATTATTTCTGTATCTAAAGTTAGGAATATTGACTATAACAATTACAATTGTGTGTATATTTGGGAGACACCCACCAGACAACCGGCCTTCACAGCCTTGATGGGCCATTAGGAAGAAACAATACGACTGGGAAGATACTAATCTCTCTCCTTACTGAGAGGCATCCTGGGACATAGCTGTGATACTACAAAGTCAGGTGATAATGTCACCTGATGCAAAATACCATCTTGGACACTGCTGGTACTTTTCCTCTGTAGGGGGATGGGGATCAAACAAAGGTTTCCCGCCTTAGATAAATCCTTTTTAAGGCTGAGGAAGGTGTTGATCTGGCCTCTCCTCCATTTCCTACCCAAGAAGAAGGACTGCTGAAAGAACCTGAAGGGACAAAGGAACTAACCTGAGGGGAAAGGCAGGGGTGAGTCCAGACTGAAACAGGATTCCAGTCTGTAAGAAGGAATAACTGGAACTCTAAGCTACAGAAACTCTTCAACTTACCTAAAATAACATTTAGGGTGAGAAATTACTTCTTGAAACCAGTCTCTTTAAGATCTTAAGCTTAGTATATGTGTTTTGTTTTATTTGCTCAATAATCTGCTTTGTTCCGTTTGCTATCCCTTATAATCACTTAAATCTGCCTTTTATAGTTAATAAATTTGTTTTGTTAATTATTAAACCCAGTTTGTGCAATTTCTAACTCGGGGGGCAAGAAATTGTGCATCTCTCTCTTCACATTGACGTAGAGGATGAATTTTTGTGAGCTTGCGCCAGGCAGATCTTTCTATACAGCGCAAGACAGTCGTATTCTGGGTTTATTCCCCAAAAGGGGTATACACATGAGTGCTGGATGAATCCTCTCACACAGAGCTGACTTCAGAGTGTGTGTGAGTGTGAGAGAGAGAGAGACAGACAGACAAAGAGGCCGGAGCGCCTAATTCGGCAAAGCAGGGAGAGGGAAGCCAGGCTGGTGGAGCAGAAGGGCTCAGTGAAACCCCAGTACACCAGGTGGCATCCCAGAAAGGGGGGTGGGGAGGGGAGGATCCAACTCATCACACCCTGATATAATCTTGGCCTTCACAACATCCTCTAGCAAAGAGCTCCACAGGTTGACTCTGTGTTGTATGAAGAAATACTTGTTTTAATTGTTTTATTCATTTAAACATTAAATGAATAGTGCTGCCTATTCCTTTAATTTGGTGGTCCCCTAGTTCTTGTGGTATGAGGAGTAAACAACATTTCCTTATTTACTTTCTCTATGCAAACAGGGAAATACACTCCTAGCTCACAGTGTAGATGTAGCCTCTGTTTAACTGAGCATGTACACCAACATATGCAGGATATACAATTTTTCCACTTGCAATGACTTACCATATTAAAAAATAGATGAACATGAAAAGATTGCAGGAGGTGTTCAGTAAGACTATTTCAGCTATGCTAATTGGAACTAAGCTTTCCACTTCCTCCACCAATGTTTGTAATTGGTTGTTATCTCGTGAAATACCACAGGAAACCCAATTTCCTTTCTAACACCTTCAGTATCAGTGTGTCATTTTCAGTTTTCTAAAATTAATGAGAACTTATTACCGTATACAGAATGAACTGACATTATTTGTATTCTAAAGTACTTCCCCCCCCCCCATGCATATTGATAGAAATGTGTATTTTAATGACATTTGTTGTTTTGTGCTGGCAAGTCTCAATTTAAAGAAATCCCTGAGCTCAGTAATAGACTGGGGATACTATCTTCATAGACTATCAAGGCAGATTCCATGCTCCACTCAACATTCTGTATTGAATGCAGATAGTAATGCATTGAATGCATTACATCTGCAGCAAGATTCCATCAGCACTTCCATTTAGTTCGCTCAGCCCTCTTTTAACAAGCTTATAAATTCTACGTCATCTATTTTAGGGTGCATTTTATGTACCTGTGATCAGTTCAGGAGAAATTTGTCCACACGTACGTGTATGTGGGGCATCATTTTCATTTTAAAAAGTTTCAAATAAGTTACTGCACATACTATTTGATGTGAGCTTGTTTTAATATGAAGTCTTAGAACACTCTCATCGGTTTTATGCCACCCAAAGGTGTGCTTGGCATTTCATACCAGACATGGAACGACCAAGTCCCCACTAGAAAGAATTTATCTTAATGTGCCAATACCTCAATTACCTTTACTGTTTTTGACGACTGAAAACTTGCATTGTATGCATTGTAAGTAATTTATATTAACATTACCTATGTATGAATGCATAGCAAATGGTACGTTCTCTTATGTCACAGTGAATCCATATTATGCACTTCCATGGTATTTCACAATTGCTCCAAAGTACTAGTTTTTGTGTTTGTGACCAGAAGTTTAATGGACTCATGAGACATTGTAACAACTCCAGAACTGCTACTGCATGTCATGTATTAGTTAATGTACAAGATTGGGCTAGCTACTGTACAAATATGTAGTAAGACTTCTACAATACATGACTAATAGACTAATGTTACAAAATAAATACACAAACTACTCCTGCCATATGCTTAGACACCTAGATTAACAAAATAAAAAATAAACACTTGATTTAAAAAGGGGACACTGAATATATTTAACATATAATACACTAGCAGAATTTCCCTCTGGATTTTAAAAAAAGGTTAAGGTAGAAATAACTTCAGACTCACTAGCATAAGGGAGCCATCTTCGGATGGAGAGATCCCAAGCACTAACTGTTTCTCCTAGGTTTGTTTTGCATCAGTACTCTGCCTAAATACATTACGTCTAGACACTGGCCTTCTGCTACCTACATGTCAAGCCCAATACCTATGAAAAAACTGTTTTGCAGAAAAAAAACATTACTTTTACTGCCAATGATGAGACCCCACAGAGTGAAATAAACTCTATTTGAACATGAAGCACAGTGCAAAAGTGGTGTTTTAGAAAACACAGGCCTGAAGCAGTAAGACTTAGTGGTGTAGAAGATGACAGACCACAGCTATGTGAAAGCAGGAATAACCCAAAGACTGGGATCCTGTGATCTAGTGATGTTATATTTGTTTTTTTCAGTTGATGTTGGAACCATGAGGACCCAATGATTCAATTTCTTTTCTAGAATGACTATTGTTCATGTCTCTCACTGCAAAAATTGGCAGTTTATTTAACATAGAGGACACGGCTATCACAAACGTCATCTAGTGGAGTTATGCTATGTTCTAGTTTTCCTTAAGGAGCTACTAGAATTATTTTAAAACTATGCTAAGCCTTTAATGCATTCTATTTTATGCACTTGGTTTTAAGCTGCTTCTTAAAAGAGTGTTCTGATAGACAATTGCATGTATCATCTTTTCAGTAAAGGCCTACAGCTGAGGGGGAGGACAGCCCAACTTAAAGAGCTGCTCAGAGGATTAGGGCTCAACTGTATTAACAAGAGAAGAATTCCTAGCCTCTTATTCTAGATTAGGAATCAGCAAGACAGAAATGTTAGTTCATATTCTCCATCTTTTCCGAAGCTTTTCTGCAAGATACCTATAGTCTGTGGATGAGAGACTATTTATTCTCTCTAAAATAAAGCAAACAGTAAAAATTTGGAGTCTAAAGCTAATCCACATAGGAACTACCATAACAGGTCAAACCAATGGTCCATCTAGCTCGAAATCCCATCTTTGACAATGGTGGCTAGTACCTGACACTTCACAGGAAGATCCACAATTGACCACTACGGAATTTCTTGCAACTATCTTTCTAACCCGCTTTACAGTAATTGGTTGGCTCCATATGCTGAAGCATGAGGATTTGCTTTTGGTACAAGAGTCAAAGGACAAATTGCAGACCCAAGGATCCTCTGAAACAGAAAAAATTCTCCATATTTCCCAGCAACACCAGTATGGTTTGCCAAAGCAGGACTGGAAGTAGAACCGCCTAGCACTTGTCTTAATGCATCATGTAGTGTAGCAGATAAGAGCTACGGAAAGTTTATTGGAGTGCACACACAGTACTCAACATTTTTCTCTCTCTCTTCCCTCCCCCTCCCCCCCGCTGCCATACTAATTCATTTCAGGTTACTAATCTACTTAGTTGAGTGTACATGTAGCAGGTTAAGGAAAAAGTGTCTAGAAAATAAGTTTGTTTAATTGGCCACTTTTAAGGACACAGTGGTCATTTTCCCCCTTTAATAGTTAGTTTCCAATGGGAATGGATTTTACAAGAACTTCACTAAAGGCTTGACTTTTGTCTGTTACTAATATTGACTGGTAGACAAAACTAAGGCTGTGGACTTTTATATAAATCAGTATGATTCATTGTGGTCATTCACAAAGAAATTGGCTGCCATCTTCTTAAAATGTATTTTAAGAACAACAGCAAATAATGATATAGTGAAATATTTTAAATCTAGTATTTTAATACTCACTGCACTGAAAGAAAAAAAAAAACACGTGGAACAAATGCATTTCAATTCCATTCTGTACTGCACTACAAAGTCAACAGCTTGATCCTTCTCCCACAGAAGTAGTAGTTTACTTTAGTGAGCGCAGGACTAAGCCTTTATTCTTTGTTCATTAAATACATTTCTAGTTAGTTGTCTAATTATTGGGGGAGGGGAGGAATAGCAGACCTTAAAATCTTCAGTTTCTAATAGTGGTTTACACTGGTCTTCACTGAACTGGAATGGTTAGTGCTAGATTAAGTACTTAAAATAGATTAAAAATCTAATTTATGTACTGTTAAATCTTCTTGAGCTTTTCAGATCAGATTCAAGGGGGAAAAAAGTCTGTTTCTAGGCTCAGAGAAAAGTTTATGATCCTCTTGTTAAAACAGTCAAGTGTTCAGCTTTGGAAAAAGGTATATTCAAAAAGCTATTAACTGAAATATTTCACAGCTGAATGTTTAAAGAACCAGGAATAGGAAAAAAGTCTGTGGACTATTAAAAATAATTTAAAGAAGTTTTCCTGTTTAATATGTGAGAAAGAAATAAAGATTGATTGTTGGAACATAATCTGTTATTTGAGAACTGCTCTTCACTGTTTTGCAGCTGAGGACAGTGGTATGATCCACTATGATCCAACACTTTTTCCTTTACTGGAAAATTGTTCCATCACAAAGATTTTTTTTGTCATGTCTAGAAGCTTTTTCCACTTGTCAGGAAGAGTATACAGAATGCTTTTGATAAAAGGAAGCACATGTTTCAGGTTTATGAGGCCTCAAAGCTGTTCACAAAGCAGAAAAAGAGTATCTGATGCATGCTGCAAGCTCTCGTGGCAACGTTCCCTGTTTACGAATGGTTGTTTTCTAGCTAAAAACAGAACAATTCCACTGGTATTGCAGATTGGCAAATTAAGTAGAGCAAGTGAATGAAAGCAGAAATCTAAATGTACTCATGTTTATAAATGTTTGTTTATATTCAGATTTGCATCATTTTAACTAGAGGTATGATTTTACACAGACTTAATTAAAGCAACGCAGAAGACTGGGGGGACATTTATTTATTAAATTGATTCGGAGTAGGTTTAAACTAACTCTGATTTAAGAATAGCATTTCAGGTAAGTGTTCTCATGGAATTTGTACTGGTTTAGCTAAAACAGTGTTTAATTAAAAGGGTGGCAAGTTTGTACACATAAAAGGCTTTAAGAAAGCAAGCCAAGTGTTTACATGACAATTGCATCGTTTTGGATATATCTTAAAAACAAAAGAATTGTAATCTTAGAGATAACTTAGTATTATAGTAGTAGTTTGCTGTTCTGTTGCAGTTGTGTTGGTCCCAGGAAATATGAGAGACAATGTGGGTAAAGTAATAACTTTTAATGGACCACTTTCTGTTGGGGGAAGAGAGCTTTCGAGCTGCACAGACGTCACCTGAAGAACAGCTCTGTTTAGCTCGAAAGCTTGTCTTCTCTTCCCCCAACAGGTTCATTAAAAGCTATTACCTCACCCACTTTGTCTCTATTATAACATTTTACATTTACCATAGATAACACATTTTGTACCCAACTAAAGTGTATTTAATGTCCATCAATCATATATTTTTGGAATATATCCCGTGTCATTTAAATAGCCATAACAAAACAGAAGAGAAACAACTTACTGGTTGCATAGCTCTGGCTGTCTAACTAAATTTTGAATGAATTCATTCAGTCCTGCTCTTCTCTGTTTAATAAAATCTGGGGAGGAGGGGAAAAGTGTAATTAGAAAGAATCATTCAATGAATTCATGGCAAAACAAGTTTTTAATTTTGCATTTTTATACTACTTTAATGGAAGTTAGTTAACAGAAAAAAAAGCGTCTGAATATAACTGGGCTTACACATGAGGATTTTGTATAGAAAAAAATATGAAATGGGAAAGAATAGGGGCTCCAGTCCCTATTTAACTTTTTCATTATTTTATATATTTTAAAAAGCAAAAATGTACTCAACCCAATAGATCTGAACTGCACCTGCGCATGCGACAAGAATTCAAAGTGTGCAGTCACAATGGCCTAGATTTTGTATTGGAGAGCATACTGGTCCTGATCCTGCTAGCACTGAAGTCAGTGACAAAATTCTTATCGACTTCAATTGTGCAGTATCAAGCCCTTACTCCCAAGAGTATTCTTCTCATTCATACCAAAAGGGCTACTCTACCAGCAGGCATCAACATGTAACCATTACCAAAGATATTTTAAAATCTTTATTTCTCTCTCCACTTTTGATGTAGTTTGTTTACTTTGGTTCAGTAGCAAGGAAAGGCCCTACTATGGGACTGCAGTCCTTGTTAGATCGATTTAAACTTAATTCTGTGCAAGCAAGATAGATTAAATCCCAAATAAAGAACAAAATAAAGGAATAACAACCAAGTGACAGTTTACCTGGATCAAAATTGTCTCCAAATATTCTTTTAGCTGGAATCTTCAGGTTCATAGTGGGAAATTGTTTCTTCAGCTAAAAAACAAACACCATCTTCATATTTAGATATTTGGACTCCTATAAATAATTGCTTGATGTAGGCATATTTTACTCTCAATTTGCAGAGAGTTTGAATTTCAGACTACTAGCATCACTTTTTGTGTCCTCAATATTATCTTTGTTGGGATTAGTACAAAGGGGAGTGTGGAGACAGAAGGTTGATCTGCATATAAACAAATTGTCTAGGCCCCATTTAACCAGTGCGTTACAATTTGTAACCTGGTTAGGAGACAAGTTCAACCTTGTTGTAAGCAGGGCTTTTGGCGTCTATGGTTATTAGAAATGTTCTTTATTACATTGCCTCCTCTGGCCCAGTTAGCTTCTTTGGGGGGAGGGGAGGAGAGAAAAAAAGCAGTCTTCTGGCTAGGAATACAGGTATTGACAACCTCAGTGGATAAGTCTATGATGAGTCCAGTGCATTTCCAAACACCTACAACCTTCCAGGGATTGGATGCTGTCACTGCAGCAGACAGACCTATTCAAAGAAGAGACTGGCTTGTGAGAGTGAATCTTTGCCCAAATCCAAGTACAACTACAATGACCTAAAAACAAAACAAGAATTCCAAGCACTCAGTGTTGCAGAATAATCTGGTAGAAGAAAACTCCGTGTTCACTCTCAGACTTTTCTTAGTCACTCCACCTTGTATATGTATAGCCTGAAAGTCAGGATCCAGGTTTATACCACAGCAAAGCAATCTCTAGGACTGCTCTTAACCTTTGGAGTAAGGAGCCCCTAGGCATGATAGCTGAAATTCAGACACTTTGCCCTAGCTATTGAGAAGCAAAGTAATCCACCAATAAAGGATGCACAATGGTAACATGCCTTTGAGAGGCACGGAGTGAACTTATTTGAAAAAAGTGCATCCAGAGAGGATTTCAGATACAGAATTTATTCATACTATGTAGGAGGCCAAACAATAGAGGGAATAGGAAGGAAAACTAAGGAGTTTATAATAATATGGTAGAAATCTTAGTAGAGATAAAGACACTAACACCTTCCAATTCATTCTCCTTGATCTCCACAAAGCCCGTGTGTTTAAAAGTCACAATTTTTAGATGGTGGAAGGAGCAGCAGATACATCTCTCTCTATTTTGGAGACTATTTCTTCTCCTCTGATTTAAGAGCTGGTGGTCCCTTTCTCCAGTTACCCCATAAGCAAGTTTCAATATCAACTCCATTTGGCATAGCAAGTTCTTCCTTAACATGCTATTCACTTTGCAGAGTCCTTTGGAATGTCCAGCTCCCTCCCTTCTTTTCAGGAGTAAAGAAGAGAAATTGGGGCAGATGTCCCTTTTCACCTGGCTAATTTCTCTAAGAACCTCCACTTGCATTAGAAAGGCTGGGGCCGACTGCGCTTTATGACAGCAGTGACGTTATCTGACAATCCAGATGTGTGGGCTATATGATGCCTAATCAGCATTCTTCAGCCACTGAAGAGGCTTTCTTTCTCCCTTGACCCCATGGGTAGTCTAAGAGGTTTGTCAAGTACAACATATGGGATCCCAGGCAGACTTCAGTCACCTAGGTAAAACAAGGTGTGTGGACAGAGCAGAGAAGAGTGCATGTCACCAAGGGTGCCAGAGAGGGTGGTTTCAGAAGCTGAAAGGGGGTTTGGTTCACAACACATATATCTGACAGGCTGTGGGGGGTTAGTTCCTCTTGTAAGATCAGGAGGCAGTGACTTTAGGTGAGTACATACTAGGAAGGAGTGCAGACAATAGGGTCCCCAGAAGCGCATTGCCCTGGATGACAACAAAATTGGCACATGCCTAGGACTGGCCCTGCTTGCTCTCCTCTAAGCGTGTACAGTAGTAGCAGCCTCTGCCAGCAACGAACCCAAGAGGTCCACTGAATTTCCATGAGTCTGCAGCTGCAAAGTCTTATTTTAGCTGGATCAAGTCTTTCCCTACAGGAAATCATGACAACTCTTAACTGACTTTCAAGTATTTTAAGAAACAAATTTTTCAAAGGTTTCAGAGTAGCAGCCGTGTTAGTCTGTATTCGCAAAATGAAAAGGAGTACTAGTGGCACCTTAGAGACTAAACAACTATCTATACACTAGTTTCCTTTATTTCCTTGCAAAATAAATTCTAAAGTGATTACTTCTTAAAAAAAACAAAGACAAATAGATTTCAAATATCCACCACACACATACTTATTCAATAATATCCACACCCCCAAAAAAACCCAAACCACACACCTCTAAATCCTATTAAAGTTGAAACTAGTGAAAAACAGTCTCTGATGGTTTAATGTGGAACACGACTATACACCATGAACGAATGAATTCAAACCACAATACAGCAAACAAGCATTCCTTTGTGTGATTTTAGTGTGACTCTTTAGAATGCATCTTACTCACTGTGTTGTACAATTTATCAAACTCAGCGTATCGCCTGAAGACAAACCACTCATTTCTACCAACGGAGACCAATACTTTGTAAACCTGTGGGAACACAAAGGCAGAGTAAATGCCAACAATCAGTTTCAGAAAAGCCATCTGTTTTGTTTTGGGGGGGGCTTATATGTGTATGTATGTACACACAAACATATTTCTCACTAAGCTACTTGTTTCTTATTACAACTTCATATAAGCAACAACCCAAGATTAACAAATCCTGCTTTCTGTAAGCTGCAAAATGCTCATTTGTTTTGAAGTGGAGCCTTAAACATCAGTAAAACTACTATATAAACACCATAAGATTAATACACATTCAGTAGAAGCATCTTGCTACTAGATACTAAAACACTAATACAGATCCACTTTGTGGGGGAGAGCGGGGAATGAGGAAAGCCTCCAAAGCCTCAAGTCCAATGCAAGGGTGCAAGAATGAAAGTGGCCTCATTCTACAGAAATTTAATCAGGTCTTTATAAGTTAAGAATATAAACAAACTGAATCTATACATTTGTTTTAAAAGCAAATACTAAGGAAGCAAGCCTTCATAGTACTGTTAGCCCCCCAAAAAGCACATGGTTATCACTGAAGATCATCCTGACCCAAGCTTTTGTTGAGTAGCATGTCTTGAAGAAAACAGGCAAGTGGGAGAAAGCTGTACATCCAGCATATAACTAATCACTTATCTGTAAAAGCAACCCCTCTGCAGATAGTATCTGTGGAGTTAGACTGCTTAAAAGTGTTTGTAGGATGCATCATTACCGTACAAAGTTGACAATCAAGTCTAGCAAAGAATCTATTTAAAAAAGAGTAGTGTTTGACACTCATGTTTCCAGAAAGGCATACACTCCAAACCTGTTTACATAACCATTCATTCTGCTTCAATCATGCTCAAACTGAAACCGCAGAATTAGACACCTCCCAAAGAGGAGAAGAGAGATGATGCACGCAGTTACTATTTATAGCTAAGTGATTCTTCTTCTGAAGTATCTATGGATTCGCACTTACACTGCTATGACTAATGAAAGCATATGAGTTAGTGTAATGGGCTATAAACACTCTCCTGGAAGTCAGGCAGGGAGGAGTTAGTTATTTTCCAAGGGAGCCAGGCAAAGCACCTTCTCCAGCACAGAGAAGTTGGCTGGCCTGCCAGCTGGAAAAGGGAGGATCCCCATCTAGGCTCACGAAGGCACAGAAAAACAGGAAGGAAAAATTGCAAGACAGTTCTGAGAGAGAAGGAGGAAGCGCCCAGTCTCACTCCCCTCAGATGTGGTGCTGCTGTTGTAGCATGAAGATTCCAGAAAGTGGCTGCTTTACTCAAATCCAGGACTGCTCTTTGCTCCTGCCAACCCCAGGAAGATAATCAAGTCAGGAGACTCTCAGACCAAGATGTAACCAGGAGCTCCAATGAAATTTACGTGAAGGATTGTTCCTTCCCTCCCCCAGATTAGGGATAGAGAGAGCAGAGCCAGCAACTTCTGTATTAAGCTAGGGTGGTGGCATGAACCTGGGAAACAGACGGAGTTAACCATGTCAGCTAGAACTACTCTTTTCCTTGGATTATCTGCAGCTGAAGTGAGGCTGATCGGGCTCAGCCACCTGGGGAACCAAGATGAGACAAGTCTTAATTTACTATAAAGGGGCCAAAGCAGGGAGGCTGGTGTTTTAAAGGGACAGTATTCTTTTTCCTTTGTTTGTTGGTGTCTGCCACTAGACAGGGCCACCCTCTTATGGCTAAGCACAAAAATAATGGCTGGGCAAATGGATTGTCCAGGTCTCTTCCCATGAATCCTAATTTTTTAAATGGAGTACATGCAGATCTCTGTTCCCATTGGGATGAAGTCAGAAGCTGACTTGAACATTACTTTTAAAATTAAAAGTCAAACTGCTTAGCAAGAATTATTAGTCATGGGAGAAGAAACACACCAGGGACTCTCACCTATAAAGGACCCTGTTTTAGATTACTCCCTGACATCAGACCTGCAGTGGAGGCCTCTGACAGTCATAAAATCAGCCAGTCAAGGGCGGGCTGTTTCTTTTTCTTCTAAAAAGACATCTCCTGCCTTCCCAACTAAGGAAAAACTCCTGTATCTTACCCCAAAAGCCAAAACACTCAAACTACAAATATGTGGTAGTTTAGCCTAGTGTTGAGCATTACCAACTAGTACCATCTTTTCACCCGGGGAGGACACCCCCACCATATTCTGCAGACATGCACTTTTGTCCACATTACTGGCAACTACACTGTTCAATTCTTGTGGGGTGAATGGGAATAGAATGGAGTGGCATCCCTAAAGCTTAGGACTTTGAGACACTGTCCTCTCACCTTCTGGGTGTTCAAGCAGTTCAAGAAAAGTGACACATCTAAGTGCAAGAATCCTCCATCTTTTTTATGGTTTTTACAATAATGCTTTCCTCATGGGTGTCTGTGCCTCCTTTTAGGAATCCCCTCCTGCAGGCTCAAGGAGCAATGCCCAGGGGCTCCGGAGAGTCACTGCAATATGGGTTTGCAAGAGGAGAGAAAATAAATGCAGTATAATAGCCATAAAAATATTCTGGAGGATGCAGGTCTACTACTGAAATTATTGCACCCATCACTTCTTGGCTGATAGTGTTATTAAATCCTAAAATATGACAAACCCACAAGCTTTGCTGTGAAAAAGTATAATTTGTCAGGCTGCTAATTAGTCCTTGATATCAAGTGGAAGAGGCCAAAACTGAGCACTGTGCTTCTGTAGGGAACATTCACCTGGTTAGACTGTGCCTACTGTCACCTCTTCTCTCTAAAATTTCCCCACTGTTGCTAATGTTGGTGCAGCTCCACAAGTAGGAGTGCCAGGGAAGACAAGACTCTAGGCTACAGCTGATTTTCTGCCTAAAAAGTTCTACATGACCTGGTGCTTAAAACTCTGGGGACTGTCATTGCCTTGTGTGTTCTAGTGCTGTGACTGGTGAACTTACCACAGCAGGAAATTTCAGGACAAATGTCCGACCACTCACAAGTCTGTAAAGAATTAACATTTAGGCAGTACAATGTGCTAATTTTGCTGTAGGAAGATCAGAGACTTTCGAGAGAGCAAACTTCGTTCAAACTCACAAAGTCGTACGAAATACACTTCCAACACATACCGACCCTCAGGCATTCTCAAACTTTAGCTCTTAAACTGCAAGTTAACCAAGCACCCTTTTTCTTTTCCCCATTTCCCCACTCCCCAAAACATAGTTACATTATGATATACTTGAATGTTTACATTGACTACATAAAGTAATATTCTTTGCCTTCTGAAGATAAAGAGAATAACTGTACTGTAGGCTGAAAACAGACATAAACCTTGCACTAGTTTTCATCAGTGAAACACCCTTGGATTTACTAATTCTCTAGAAAAATAGAACAAGCTAATCAGCATCTCTCAGTTTCAGGAGGAAATTGCACAACAGGGCAATGAATCGGATCATATTTTTGAAAGAAAGCATTACGATGCATTCTTTATACCCTAACAGACATAGAAGCAAAGACAAAACCACCCAAAACCACTTTACTTCCTGTATTAAGTAAGATTCTTTGCACCACTAAACAAAAAACAAGTACTGCCTGCTACCAAATTAAAAAAAGAAAAAAAAAAAAAGCCTGCATGATTACGAAATGTGTCTATCAGGAGGCCAAAAGGAAAAAATGAGGGTGGGAAAAAAAACTTTCAAGAGCATAAGATTGAGAGAGAGAGAGAGAATGAATTACAAGTGATGAGTTTCCTTTAAAAGCACATAAAAACATTAAGAAAACAACTGTAAAGATGTAAAATAAATGTGGAGTGTCTAAACTCAGGAGCTCACCTTTTTCTTGTCATTTTTTTTAAAATACACCTCACTCTTTGGGATTTTATGTTTTTTACAGAAAAGATATGGCAACATTTGGATCTGATATGCTAGGGCAAAAAAATCCCCCTGCCCCCACATTTATACACTAAATTCCAAATATGAAAAAAAAAAATGCTGCAGTTTTGCTTAAAGGGATATCAAGAATTTGTAAACCAGAACTATATCTATAAAAAGTGACAAACTCTAGAATAAAAATCCTATTCTGCGTGAAGATTAATTGTGTAAAGCATTTTGTTCATTATGTCCAGTACATATCATTTGCATTTGAGCAAACACCAATTTCTGTCATCAGTATGTGGAGAACACAAAAATAGTCAGATATTTAAGATGTGTGCTAATGTACAAAACAAAGCACATATGTAGTCTGTCTAGAGAAATGCTAACATACTTACAGTAAACCTCTTTTTCTTCTCTCTATGTTCATCAGAGCTGGGAATGCTAACACTTGGGCAGCTTTCTTTGAGATCCATTTTTATGTACTCTTTGGGCAAGCTTGTGTCAAGTGACTCCACTCAATGTAGAGCAAACAGAAGACAATCTCAGCGATACTGATCCAAAATGTGCAGCTTTTCTTGGAAAAATTTAAATTCCATCATGCAACCTTAAAATGTAATTAAAAGGTAAAATTAAATACAGAAACATTGTTCATTTGCATGGTTAGAACTAGTTTATGAGCTCCTTCTCTGGGCAGGGATCATAGCTTCCTATGCAGGTATACAGTACATACTGCAAAAAATGCCTGATCCTGATCGGGGCCTTTGGACAGTGGGGACAACAGACACTGCTCATCTCTGCAACACACACTCAAACCCTGATCCTACCAGATGTTCTATGCTGGTGGGGTTTTGCCCCCTTACAGAGTCCCACTGACTTCAAAGGGGGCTCTGCATGGGTTCAAGGCCCCACAGCAAAACTAGCTTGCAGGATCAGGGCCGCAGCATGTAATGCATAATTTGGGGAGACAGGCAGATATTTATCATCAGAGTCAAGTTAGTTTTACTCAGCCATAAGAGTTGTATTGAGGTAGAAATAATTTATTCAAGATTATTTCTAAATATCTTCAGATGTACAAGTCTGTATCTCAGGGTACTGCATACCTGTCAGAACACACAGAGTATATTTAAGTATCACATCACAGGTGGAAAAGGAAAGATGATATGAGGAAAATCTTTCAAGTGAAGTTTAAAGGGACACAGTTAATTTTAAAAAGTCACTTCTGTCTGAACGTTTTACCTGCTGTTGTTACAAGTGAAGCATATGATGACACTAACTCACAGATTAGGGAGATTTCCCCCAGTTTTGCTTACTTTGTGCTTTTGACAGCACATTGTCTAGAGTTTCATCATTTCCCCTGTACAGATGGTTAGTCAACCTCTCTTCATTTAGGGCTTTCACACAGCATTGTGTGAAAGGGGGCATTTTAAAAGACAAGAAAATGAAAAAGTATACATACCAAAATAGGCCAGGGCCAGGTTAGAATTTAACTAGTTTTCTGAAGTTTAGATTTCAAGTTAATGGTGTCCTCTTTCACTCACCATCTCTGGGGCAGGGATAATTTTGTTGTTGTGGTGTGTGTGTGTCTACCACAAAGGAACCTAATCCCCAACTGAGGCCTCTAAATGTTGCCACAATACAAATATGAACTTTTAACTAGCACACAAGATGACCATAAAGAGATGCTCAAATTTAACAAAAAACCTCCTGTTCGGGAATGTATGGATATTTCAGTTTTAAGTTTTTTTGTTTTGTTTATAAACCAAATACAGTTCAACCCTAAGGCACAAACAAAAAAATAGGTAACACTAAAATATGAGATGTCTAGCTTGTGTCATGTCTAACTCTATAAGGGGAAAGCTTTGAGGAGTGAAAAAGCTCAATATTTAAACTGCCATTTTCTCAAAAGAGATAAGCTGAATATGAACTGTATATTTCAGGGCAAGAATTTTTAAAAAATAAAATAAAAAAAAGCCACCAACTAATTTGATGTAATACTGCTGTTACAGAGATACCCATGTTTGTGTTGGCAGAAGTGACAAAGCCCCTGGTATCCAATTGAAGAGATTTGTTTTTTAATATCCAACTAATAAATCTTAGATGGTTCTGGTTTACTTCTTATACTCAAAATCCAATCACCTTGATCTCTTCCAAATTTCCTCTAGTTTGTCCTCAGATTTGAGGAACTTGATCATTAATTATAATTTACAATTAAATGAAAGATAAATATTAATATGGTGAAATTATTAAAAATGCAGAAACAGCTATAATCACAATGAAATCAAAGTCATTATAGCTGTTCAGTGATAGTCAAATTTTGTTTTAAAAATTTGACTCCCATTTGCCTTAATATTTGACTTTCCCATACTTACTGGTTACTCACATCAGACTAATAGTTTCCAAGTTTAATTCAGATACATTAATAAGTTACATATTTGAATTACATTATCTTGTACACATCAGATCAGCCAGGAACTTGTACCTTTGATGAGCCACTGTTAAAAAGCTGTGTTATACAGTTAACCATAATTACTCTTTTATAAAATTATATTTGGGTGCGTAACCTGTAAGAAGACTGGTCTCTTACTCCCCAAACCTAGTTTAAAAAATAAACTAAAAATGTTGCAGTTAAATATTATACGGCAGTCCTTCCCCATTCCACTAAATATGTATTATTTGGTACAGAAGCCCCCCTAAAGTCAATCAAAGTGGTATAATATTTTCAGTCATGTGTTTTACTAGGTATATGATTTACAAAACATTTATGCCCATTTATGGGGCTAGCAGTTACACGTATACTGCATTTCTCTCATATTGTTTACTTACTTATTTTCCTGGCCATCACATGTCACACATTAGAGCGGCAAGCTTTTTGTGTCTTTCTTTCCCTCACTAACACCATCCTCTGAGCACCGTCAACCTCTCACAAATGGACACTGTGTCTAATCCTACAATGTTCCTGGAATTTTTGCATTCACCCTCATGTCAATTCCACTTAGGGCACGTAGGGTAAAGATACAGGCCATCGCTCTCACATTCTTTAGATTTCAGAGCCATAGCACAATGACAGGACACGAAGAGTTGCAATAGTACTGAAGAAAAGGCATGGATTATAGTTCAGAGAGCAGTACTGCACAGATTTGATATACAGCTCATTCTCAAATGTAGAAAGTCCAAGAGTAGAGTCACCAAGTTTGATACAGGATAAATTTACTCATCTTGATCTGGTGGAAAAGAATGAGCAGCTACTGAAGACGTAAAAAAACCCAATAAAAATATTTATACTGCAAGTTTCTTGGAGCTTTGCATGATGCAGTTTGCATTTGTTTCTCTGAGAAGACTATACTTACAACAGCGTTGTTGCAATGCAACGTTAAAATTAGGTGGTAAAATTGGAAAGAGCAATTGAAGCTTGCCTATGAAACTCCAGAAGGTGAAAGATGCAGTTTCTATTCACCAGCAGCACTCAACTATCATAGTAACTCTTCAACTGTAACATACAGAAGAACTTCATTTCAAAAAGGTTTTTCAATTTTTCTTGATTTCCCATCCCTACAACACTGCAGATTAGCAGGTTTATTTGCTAATTTCAACAGTGCCTAGCACTATGGCAGCTAGGTGATGCATCTAACCTGTGTTCCTTATTGTATCACTCATTAAAAAAGACAAACACAATCACACCAGACAAAGCAAGCATTGAAGTGTGCCTTTAAGGCCTTTGTAGGCTCTGGCAGACCACCAGAGAGGAGTGAATTTTAAATAGGCGCTGTCAGCTGAGAAAGGGAGCACTCTATTAGCAGTGGTAGAGTTATTAGAAACAAGTGACTTCCTGCTGTCCTCAACTCCCATGACAAGTAGAGGGAAAGACAAAAGTCTGACAACCAGACCATACACCTTGAATTGCACCTAAGTGTACATAGGAATACACTGCGGATATGTCTCCACACCTGGCAACTCACAGCAGTCTAAAGACATTCAGCATCAACAGAAGCTCCCAAAGGCCAGAAGGGGGAAAGGTGCAGAAGACATTTGCACAGAGATGGGCAAAGCTTTTCCAAAGAACTTTTTTCACCGAAAAATACAGATTTGAGTTGCCCGAACATTTTGTGCACTAGTGTTGATTTAACAAACTGTTTTGGTTTAAATGAAAAAAAGAAAAAAAAAAGTTTAGAGGAGGTTGAGATTCCCCCTTATAAAACTTTAGCCCAGTGGTTAATGGACTGGGAGACCCAGGTTTAAATCCCTTCTGGAGCAGAGACTTGAACCCAGGTTCTCACTTCCTAGGTGACTGCCCTAACCACCAGGCTACAGGGTATTCCAACGTGGGGGAAATCTCAGAGTTTCTTCTGTTGAAGCGGTTTCACTTTGTATAAAATAATGAAATAGTCATTGGACCAGAGAGAGAATATGACTTACAGCCCTCTGATTAGGGCTCCCCTTTGGGAGGGGGAACATCTGGGTTCCAGTCCCTGCTTCAGTGACAATTTAATTATTTACACAGAGGAACAGCTTCAAAAGGAGAGACTGAGAACAATTCATGGATAAATACCCTATAGCCTGAAGGTCAGGGCAGTCACCTGGGAAGCAAGGATTCAGACTCCAGAGCAAGGATTCAAACCCAGGTCTTCAATATCCCATGTGAGTGCTCCAGCCACCAGGATAAAAGGTTGTAAGTGGTGGCAGCACCACCACCATGTTTTTTGTGAATCTAGCCTTTCATTTTCTTTGCTAAAGTAAAACAAGGTTAAATGCCCAAATGTGAAATAAAGTTTAGTTTGACCTGAACAAAAATGACCCTGCTTTTCCCTGCTGAAAATCCCCAAAAAGTTTGATGGTACAACCTGAACTTTTTTAAAAAATATATTTTTAGGAACTGCCAGTCAAACGAAAATAGTCAGTTATTTGCACAGCTCTCTGTTGTGAGGTTTGCATTAGAGAATAATGGGGCACAGTCTCCTTGGCAGTTTCAGATGAAAGATCATCAAAAGCAAATATCTATATCTGTCACAAGAGCTGCAACGGATCCATGAATCATTCTGACAAAACTCAAGAATACACGCTGGTTAGGTAGTGAGACACCCGTTTGTCCACTGCCATTGTCTTTTACCAAAAAGCATGCCTTTCATTCTTTTCTGGGTTGAACAATATAGCCATTTCAATTTTATCCAGATTCCTGTCTCTCTCAGGAACCGTGAATGCAAGGAGAACAGAACGTGGATGTTACAAAAAGCAGGCACACAGCTGACTATCCCCATACATATACACCATTGCAGTACAATACATTTGAAAATCTCCTCAAGTGACCTACTATAAAAACTGAGCAACATGGATCACTAACAGTACATCCTCACAATTTCAATTCCATATTAGGATCTGAATCCTGACCGACAGGAATCCAAGAAGTCTTTTCAATCTACCACTGAAGTTGGCTCATCTCGACCTTCTTGATAAACTTCCTTAAAACTGGAAGCTTTGTGAGAGGATAGTAACTAGTGGAGTTTTAATGTCCAAATATGGTTCCATAAGCAAGCTCCTAACCACTTGTCAACTGTGGCTAGCTGCTTGCACTTTTGGAGGGAGGAATTAAAAAAGCCTCACCCTTGCCCCCTTCCCAATGACCCTCCCGCTGACTTTAATCCTTCACCATGGACAAGACCCCTCTGAAGAGTAGCTGGATGATATTCTAAGCACCCCCAAAAAGCCCTGTAAATGAAAGGTAGGTGAAAGCCAGCCCCCTCATATTCTAATACTTTTCCATGGTGATTGGAAACTTGGCCCAAACAGTACTATGAAAGGCCTTTCAAGTTTTGTATCTAATAAAAGAGAAACATTTTAGTCTAACTATTTTAACTATTATATTACAACAGCACCCAGAGGGCCCAATCAGAATAACAGTCCCATTGTGCAGGATGCTGTACAGACACACAGCAAGAAAAAGTCATCCCTGTCCCTCAAAAGCTAAAACTGGATTAGACAGCTTATGTGTCCTGCCCATGCTGGCTGTACAGCTACAATTAATAACCAAACAGCATGCCTCCACTGACAATGCTGCTGGTGTTCCCACACAGGAAAGGAAGGGTACCATCTTCCCTTCAGCACTTTGAGCAATAGGAGGAAGCAGACAGGGAGGTGGAGGACAGGTGAAAATAAGAGGACTTTTCCAAATGTATTTGGAAAAGAGTCAGCAAGAAAAGAATTTGGCATGTACCTTTTAAGAGGGTAATATAAACAAATGACCGCAAGGCGAAAGACATTTGGTGACTACGCTAACCTTGCACCTCTGGAGAGCTGGGTCCAAATCCAGGGCTGGGTCACAAGTGAAATCAAGATCTGGCAAGCTCCAGCTGAGACGGATTCTGGTGCAGGAGAGACCTGCAAGAAATAACGCTGGATAAATAGGAGATATTTCAATTATTTGTCAGGGTTAAGAGTTAAAAATAGGTTTTGTGTTCTCTCTTTAAATTTAGCCATAGTATCAGTTTCAGTACATCAGGATAGGATAACCACAGGAAGAAGAGAGCCAGGAACTGTCAGAGGTCATGAGGCTTAAAAAGTGTATTAAATTTGTCCATCGCTAGCCTAAACCCTAACAAAGCTACCTGAATTTCAAAAGGGACCCAAGTCTGCTTTGATTTGTTGAATGACTAACTTCAAAATAATTCAGGTTTCAAATAGACCACCCTTTAATACCATGTACATTTTAGTTTTACGGACCTTTTTGTAAGTTTTAAAGAGGGTTTTCAACTCTCCTGCTGATGTTTACAAAAATCTGTCTTGCAAAGGAGAGTGCAGAGCACTTCCCTACATGCCCAGGTCCACCCCTCCTCAGTTCTTCACCCATTCCTGCTGGTTGCCATTTTCATTCTGCTGCCATTAGTGGTAAACGCCCTAGGGAGTAGCTTGCACTTGGAGCTCCTTCAGGTAAGAGATAATGAAAGCAATGCTAGTTCATAAGACAGGAAATGCAACATTGGCCTTCTGCAAAAATGATAAAACTGAATGAAGACAAACTGCTGTCAAACTGAAAAAAAGAAGAGTGTGGATTGTGTCCCCCGCACACACACCTTAACCTGTAAGAGTACTGCTGTAAAAACAAAACAACCCCCTACCCCACCACCACTACCACCAGAGGGGAAATCATCACTCTGCAATAATCTGGTCTAGTGAAATGTAACTCTTTTGTTATTTTCCCTATGGGAAAGGAAGAAGACAGAGATGAGTGAGAAAGGTTAAAGAAGAATGGAGAGGAACAGGAATAGGGGATAATTTCTTACTTTCCATCCCCTATCTCAGTCTCACTGGGGAGAAAGAATAAGGGAGACATTTTCTATTTATAATCCCACTGAAGAGTATACCACCCCTACGACAGCAACACTTATTTTATCTGTCCTGGCACAACCACTGTTATATGTGAAATTTCAACATTTGTATCTCAGGTTGGCTCTGTCAGGATTCTTGTTTATTGCAAGACAGAATTCTGAGAACTACAGGCTCCACCACTGTTAAAAATGAATGTAGTGTGGATCATTATTAACAACTGAGCATGCATTCAGCAAGCTCCTAGATCTGCCCTAAGAACAGCCCTCTAGAATTGTTAGCGAAGACTTCTTATTTACCCACATCTAATCCTTAATGATTAATCTCTAGCCATATCCAGAGAATCTGGACTAAGGGATACAACAACTGCAAATGCATTAAATGATTAGTCTCAGTGATGAACTATGCGCAGTAAAGTCAGTTCGCACTGATCATATGCCAACACTTATGTTTTCTCGATTGCTTCCTCAACTTTCCTGTGCAGCAGCTCCAATTAATTTAGGCAAAAATTTTCAAAATTTGGGTGCCTAAGGACAAGCTCATAAATATGGACTGAAAGTTTTGGCTATAGTGCCTTGAGCTGCCTCCGACAGATCTTACGATAAAGCCTACCCAACTTCCTTTACTCCAACCACTTGTAGGGTGTCCAATTCTGCTTCAGCAGGCAGTCAGGCTTCTGTAAACATAGAACACAGGGTTGTTATCCCCTTTTTGACTCCATGAACATACATCCAGTCACATCATTTGAAGAGGCAGGATAGTCTAGAACAGTAGTCTCCAAACTTTTTGGCTCGTGCACCCCGAGGGTGAAGACCGGAAGACCCGCCGCAGGCACGCCACCGATAGAACAGGGCTGGAAGACCCGCCGCAGGGGAACACCAGCCGTGGACATGCAGAGCTTCCACCAAAGAAAAAAAAAGATGGAGTTTCATCCAGTGGTGCTCCTGCTGCCGCGCAACCCCTGGGTGCATCTCGCACACCCCAGTTTGGAGACCGCTGGTCTAGAATAATGAATATGGGATTGGGAGTCAGATCATCGTAAGCTCCAATTCTGGCTGGGTTACTGGCTTTGTGTGTGCATTTGGACAAGTCACTTTACTACTCTGTCTCCAGTTCCCATCTGTAAAATCATAGAAATGTAGGGCTGGAAGAGAAGTCAGGTCATCTAGTCTAGTCCCTGTGCTGAGGCAGGACCAGGTATACCTCCTAAACCATTGAGAACACTGACCTATTTAAGGAGGGTGTTGCAATATTTGTAAAGAGCTCTATAAAAGTATACACCAAAATTTCATAACCAATAGGGTAAGAGATCTAGAAAATGGAATGTCTCCAGAACAAAAAGCTGATGGGATATGCAGCATCAAATCTAAGCCTACTCTTCAAATTTAGGTATCCCTAATTCTGCAGAAGTCAATGGAACAGTTAATACTGCCAAATTCCAACAATGACAAGGGGTGAGGGAATATATTCGAGAAAGCTTGTCTCTCTATCCAATAGTAGTTGGTCCAAAAGATATTACCTCACCCACCTTGTAACTAATATCCTGAGACCGATACAGCTCCAACAAAATTCCAAGAATGTAACATGGTTAAGTAGAACAGATTCTAAGGCAAACCAAGAAGAGAAATAAGAAACTTACAGCAACACAGTACTGTGGGCCCAATTCACCCATACCCAACCATTTGGGTAGTCACACCAGCGCAAAGTATTACCAAACTCAGAATGATAGTTTTTTACACCCACTCTGCACTGATCCAAATGTCTATAGGGCAGTGGTGAATCAATAGTCTTTCCTCACAGAGAATAAGGTCACAATAGATGGCTGGAAAAAAAAAATTAAGACTATAGAAAGCATCTATTTTATGCCTATAATACAAGTTGGTGTCACAATTTCTAATATGGCAAGGTTGTGATTTATAGTGAATGGTACTTATGCAAGCTCTGCATCAATTAGATGCCACACATTAAGGCTCCCATCAAGCAGGATATAGCTGAGGTAATTTATATAGCTTTAAAGACAGTATCAAAGAAGTAAAAATAGCAAACCTTTACTGCTGCATACAAATTAAACTTGAAAAAAAAACAAAAACCTGATCTAACACAAGTCTTCCATATTATGTTCTTTTTTTAAAGTAATACAAAAGCCAGTTTTGAAAATAAATACAAACACTGCAGACACAAAAAGTTAATATAAAAATACTGAAAATATTAAGATTGTAATAAGCCTACAAGAAAAGTTCCAGTTAAAAAGAGTTAATGGCATTCCTTCTTTAGTTCCAAAAGGATCTTTAAGAAAATAGTTACAGGGAATTATGTGATCTCCTCTACATTTGAATTTTCTTGTTTTTATTGACTCCTGTTACAAGTTTTTAAGATGTATTTTATTAAATTCTCTCATTTAGAGTAGTAAATAGCAGTCACCTGAAAGATCAGATTAATGTTCTGGTGAGCACTATATAAAAAACAAAAACAAACAAACCAACCAACCTATATTTAGGTACTCATGAGACCAGAACAGTTTCATTGAAGTTCTTCTAGTCTAACAGATAAATGACATTTTCAGTTTAAACATGAAACATGACACAACAGCCCCTCTAAACCCAAACTTAGGTATCTCAGTGTATAATCATGTTAAGTTTATCTTCACTGAAAGCTATGAAGCACCTGACTGCATGAAAAATGGAGCTAGTGTTTTATCTGTGAAATTCCTAGGAGTTGGATGGTTGTTGGGAGAAGCACAAAGGTCTTAAAGCTGCAGACAGAGGTAAATAGTGTGTTGTAATAAGTTTAGCAAGCGATAATAAAAACCTCAAAAATAGAGACGTGGGTGACAAATCACATTCCATGTTGATGAGTTATAGCATGTTCAGAACCAGAGAACAGAAGGGTATCTTTTGGAGGTGTAGGGGGAGAATTTACCAGCTTCCCCTAACATTTGTATGAATATAAGTTTAAAAAAACCCTCTAGTGTTCACTGCAGCAAATCTTCAAATATTAATACTTTACAATTTTGTATTAATGGACTTGAATTACATTCCCCCAGGAGACCCAAATTCATATCATCCAATAAAAGGATGGGGGAGGGGGTGCCAAGTCTTCCTTTTTTTTTTTTTTTTTTTTTTAAGAAGGAGCTTTAATGGAGTTCAAACACATCAACTCCAGTACAACTGTTGGTTTTTCCCCTATAGTTGTAACTTTTCCACAAAATGAGCAGTTTACAGCCATAAGCAATTTTGTACAAGACACAAAAATCTCCTGAAGACGGAGTTTTATATCATTACACAGGAGGTGGCTGCACCTTTTCCCCATGCCAGGGACTCGGACAGAAGAGAAGCGTACCTACTGAATGGCAGTCCCATTCCCATCCTCAAGACCTTGCAGCAGGGTTTGGGAAATTCATTGCATCTTGTTACAAGGTGAAGAAATGACATTGATCTGCTCACCTTAATAGGAAAAAAGTCTAGATAAACTGAAAGAAAAGGAGTACTTGTGGCACCTTAGAGACTAACCAATTTATTTGAGCATAAGCTTTCGTGAGCTACAGCTCACTTTATCAGATGCATACTGTGGAAAATACAGAAGATGTTTTTATACACACAGACCATGAAAAAATGGGTGTTTATCACTACAAAAGGTTTTCTCTCACCCCACTCTCCTGCTGGTAATAGCCCATCCAAAGTGACCACTCTCCTTACAATGTGTATGATAATCAAGGTGGGCCATTTCCAGCACAAATCCAGGTTCTCTCTCCCCCACCCCACAAAGCGTTAGATAAAGCTATTACCAAACAGGAGAATGGATTGGGGGGGGGGAGAAAACAAATCCAGGTTTTCCCCCCCAATCCATTCTCCTGTTTGGTAATAGCTTTATCTAACGCTTTGTGGGGTGGGGGAGAGAGAACCTGGATTTGTGCTGGAAATGGCCCACTTTGATTATCATACACATTGTAAGGAGAAAAGGAGTACTTGTGGCACCTTAGAGACTAACCAATTTATTTGAGCATGAGCTTTCGTGAGCTTCACGAAAGCTCATGCTCTAATAAATTGGTTAGTCTCTAAGGTGCCACAAGTACTCCTTTTCTTTTTGCGAATACAGACTAACACGGCTGTTCCTCTGAAACCTGTCATTGTAAGGAGAGTGATCACTTTAGATAAGCTGTTACCAGCAGGAGAGTGGGGTGGGGGGAGAGAAAACCTTTTGTAGTGATAAACACCCATTTTTTCATGGTCTGTGTGTATAAAAACATCATCTGTATTTTCCACAGTATGCATCCGATGAAGTGAGCTGTAGCTCACAAAAGCTTATGCTCAAATAAATTGGTTAGTCTCTAGGGTGCCACAAGTACTCCTTTTCTTTTTGCAAATACAGACTGACATGGCTGTTACTCTGAAACCTAGATAAACTGAAGTATTTTCTGAATAATTTCACTTTAGGAATGGAGCTCCTCTTCTACCTCCATCGCCCTTAACCCTGGGAGCCCCAAAGGAGCACCTAAACAGAGTACATGGCTCCAAAACCCTTCTCTCTTACACCAGGCACCCAAAACTGTAGCAAAGACACAGACACTTGACAGCTTGCAAGACGAAGGTCTCAGCTTCCTCTCCCTAGGCATGCCCATCTGGAGAGCTCTGTAAGCAAGTTGTGTACACACCCTGGAACTCTTCCAACAACGACTGCAGGGCAATGAGAGGAACTGTCCCTTTTCTGATCATCACACAAAACAGATTTCAGAGTAGCAGCCGTGTTCTCAGCTGTTCGAGCTCTCTCAGCCAGAGCAGCTCGCACTCCCTATATCACAGGACACTGGAAGACCAGAAGGAGAGCTCAATGAAAAGCACCACACACTCCTACATAGAATTCAGCCCAGGGCTCAACAATACTAACCTCAGGGTGCAAATACCCCTATCCAGAGTCAGACCTTTCAAGACCTTGCACCAAACCCTAAAGAGACAAGCCACCGCCCACTGGGGACGGCAGATCAGAAACCACAGCGAAGGGTCTCCACAGCAGCGGATCTGCCTGTGACCACAGGCAAACCAGCCAGCAGACTGGCGCTGAACGCGCACCGCTGCACCCGCAGACGAGAGCGCGAAGCCAGCGCGGGAGGAGCGCCCCGGCCCTACGGCTGGGTCAGGCGCGTCTCCTGCCCTGGAACCCAGCACACTGCGAGACACAGGGCCTCGGACTGCGAGTCATGCGTGCGTCGCCCGCCTGCCGGAGGGAGCGGGGGGGAAGGCGCTCCGCGGGCGGGGACGCAGGGGCATCGGTGGTGTTTTAACGGGAAGAAAAAAAACAACTGGGCACAACCCCCACCCCACCATGGATCAAACCCCCCCTCCCCGAGGGCGGCAGAGATCCCCGGGCTGAACCCCACCCTCTGCAGCATCTGCTGGGACCGGCGCAAGCCGCTGCCTGCCTGTCGGGCCGCTACCGCGCCGGGCGGGGCTGGAGTTAACCCCCTCTCCGCCCCTGGGCGGCGGCAAGGTGGGCGACCGGGCGTAGCCCCAGCCAGCCAGCCGGGCGCAACAGCCCCGAGGCCAGGCCAGCGGGCCCCACGCCTCTGGTCCCCCGCGGGGCCCCGCAGCCCGCCGCTTTCCCGGCCCACATGCCGTGGCCCCGCCATTCCGGGCCGGCGGCGCCAGGTGGCCCCGCCAGGTGGGGGGTGAGGCGGGGCGC